GCCTGGATGGCCGAGAACACCAGCTTTTCGAGACACAGACGACGCGGCCGAAAGGAGAATCACTACAGTCTGTAGTGTACACAATATCCCATGAACCTGTCTGCCGTCGCCCATGGTGGAGGCCAAAGCGTGTGCCTCCAAAAGGTATCCTCGAGCCTCCCGCAAATTCTCGAGGTAGCTCTGCGAAACTGATTTGGCTGGGTCTCGGGCGTTCGGAGACGCAGCCAGAGCTCGGACAGGAGAGGCTTTGATAAGCGAGAAGCGATCGACTTTGTCGGAATTGAGGACGCCAACGGATGGGAATGATAATGGCGATTCTTGGATCACAGAACAGACAGCGTCCTTTGACATCTGGTCCATACTCTGTCCCAACAAAGATTTTGCTGTTGTGACCAGTTCTGACAACAGGTGGGATGTAAGGCTGGAAGAATGGCGAGCCTCCTGCAGGAGCTGCCACGCCCCGGCCCAATCGTTCTTATGAACCTTGGAAGTTGCCTTCTCAACCAATACAGAGGCTCTGATGGACATCAGGTGTGCATCTGCATCCTCAGCCTTCGTGTCAGCTGTGGTTGATGGTAGGCTCGTCGCAACACTCTTCTTTGGCGCGGCCCTGGAGACTGGTCCTCTGGTGGGGACTGGAGCTCGGGCTCTGCGAGAGGCCGGTGCGGGCTTCTCCCTGACGGGCAAATTGCTCGCTTTCTTCTGGATGGCGACGACATTTGGTAAGTCGGCAGTAACCTCCTTGGTGCATTTATCAACACCCTCCATTCTCTTGACCATAATCCCAGCAGTCTCAAGCATGCTCTCCTCAGACTCGAAGTCTCTAGCTTCGCGATAGATTGTGCTGAGTTGACAACAGAGACTGACGAGTTTGCCGGAGAATTCGGAGCGATCAAGTGTGGCCTCGACTTTGCTCGCTGATTGCAGTGCGTCTTCGAACTTATTTGCTCTGGCAAAGATCAAGGACAACCAGACATTGCATTCAGCGAGATATGCTTTTGCGTCAGCAACTTCCGCCACCTTCTGCGCTTGCTCGGCGTAATAGACCGTCTCCTGGTACATCCCAAGATGTGCATAGGTATTCGACAAGAACAAAAGGCCTCTCAGCACTGGATATGCTAGCTTCCAGGCCTCTGGGCCAGAAATTCTTGGTGGCTCGGCCTTGCTCTTGCTCTCCACCGCCGCCTCGGACAAGCTGACGTCCAACTTCGAAGCAGACTCTTCCATAGAATTGTCTAGCTTATCCTGCGTGAGTTGTTCCAGTCGGGCCCACTCCTGGAAGAGGACGCGACTGGCATTTCTTGCATGGGTCAGAGCACATGGTGCGTCTCCTCGACCAAGAGCCACAGCAGACCATAGTAGGGATGCATGAGCCATCATCATTTTGTGCACTCTTGAGCGGCTGGAGAGATCTATCGCCGAGCCAGCCTCCTTTGCTTGGTGGAGGAGCTCGTCTGCCTTTTCGATATTGCCGATCTCGATGAAGTACTCAGCATGGAATAGCAAGAAGCGCACCATCTCTTCGTTCGGCCGTGGTCGCGTCGGATGGGAGGGCTGCAGAGCTTGCTGGAAAATGGCAGCGGCCTTTGCAGACTGTCCCAGATTTGTGAGCTGCAAAGCCAGTGCAGCGGAAATTTGCAGGTTGAGAGCAGTGTCTGTCTCCATCGACTGGGCTCCAAAATCAGCTGCTAGTTGCAAGGTCTCCAACAGTAGGGTATTGTGATTCGAAAGCCGCGCAGCGTCTGCAATAGATTGTAAATGTTCTTGTAGTCCTGCAACATCATCAATCCGTTGGGCAAGGTCTATTGAATCCTTAGAGCTGTCGATGATAGTCCGCCAGGCCGAGATGGACTTCTCCAACTGTTCGTAGTCCGGCGTCGGACGGGCGAGCGCGATCGTTGATGCTGACAGCGCCTTCATATGTGCCACAGAGGCTTTCAGGCCAGCATCTTTCCCCAGATCCACCTCATCACTGATAGAAGCGGCAGCCTCGACTTGTTCTTGGATCAATCTGAGTTGTGGCTCGTTTCCGATATTTGCGATCAACAATCGTAATAGGATCCTCAGCCTGCGCACTGGAAATTGCTCTGCAGGACAAAGTTCTAGGAGATTCTCGACGGTGGGATCCGAAAGGCCGAGGTATGTTCCCTTCTTCGAGACAGCGCATTCGAATCCAAATTCAAGGGCAGCGAGACGTTCCGGATCTTCCAAGTACAGAGTCCAGTCGATATGGACCCTCTCCAGTCGGGTGATGCATCGAATTGACCAAGCCAGTGATTCGACGTCGTGATCCACCGCCCACGCTTTCCGAGGCGGTAAGGTCTCCAGGGCGTGGGTGACGGATGTCAGAGCGCCGTCCTCGATATGGAGTCCTCTCAGAGTCTGCAAAGATGCCAGGGCGTGTTCAGGTTTTCCCAAGTCTTTGTACAGCTCACTCATCCGCTCGAGTTTGTAGTTTACTTGGGCCTTTTCTCTCTCCTTTTTAGGGCGGTCTTTGACGCAATCAATCGAACGGCGCAGAGCCTTCAGTGCATAAGCGAAAGTCGTTCCGTTCTTTGTCGGTCTGGGTTCTACAGCAATAAAGCTGGAATGCTGCATGTAGTAAAGATGCGAAACTTTGGCGTAGTATTGATCTGCAGGGTCGGCGGATACGTGGCCGTCAAGGCTGTCGAGAAGGTTCAGACAGTCTTGCAAGGGCGCATCCAGCTTATCCCAGGTAGACCGCTTCTCATCGATGATGGTCTTGGCCACCATCAATGCGGAGTCCAGCACTGGGGAAGCTGAACCGCCCAGTACAGCACGGCGTTGCTCATATCGTAAGACCTCCTTGGTTTTATCGGCTGAAGACGGTCGTTTTCCCAACCACCGGAGGCAGAATCTCGGCAACTGAAGGATCAAGGCCTCCAGCGCTTCACAAACAACTTTTTCTGGGTGGTATTTCCTGCCTTCGTCGTCTCTTAGGTTCCCAACCAAGACATGCGTGGCTGACTTGCGCACCAGGACCAGGCTCTCAAGTAGCTCATCCAGCTCGGCACTGTCACCTCGAAGGGGCCCCTGGAGACCGTCAAGCACCTCCTTCAGCAAGGCGTCCTGAGACGACGGTTGCCTCCAAATCACATGTAGTCGTTGGGCCAGTAGCAGTGCTGATATCGAGAAGCATTTGGCTGCCGAATCTCGAGCCCGGTTCATCATCTGGCTGTTTTTCTCTGCCCATGCCATCGCTTCACTATGTTGTCCCGAGTCCTGCGCCAATTTTCCCAATATTTGATATATGCTAGACAGTGGTGACTTCAAAGACTTGGAAGGTTGAAGATTATGCCGACAGATTTCGTCGAAAGTGTTGTTGAAGGCGGCGAGGCAAGTTTTATAGAGCGCAGCCCCCCCTGTTCCAGTGCGGCGAGCGCAGGCCGCAATGCATTTTGAGAGCGGCGAAAGGATGTCCTTGTCCACCTCTGCCTTGTGACCCGCCAGTTTCCACCAGTGGAGTCGGGTCTGAAGGGCGATCGTCTGGAGCTCAAGTGCAGAGACAGGTGGGATACTGAGCCTGGGCTCCAAAGCTGCGTCGTCTTCTGTCGTTGATATACTTGGCACAAGGGCTAGGAACAGCTGCGAGGTCGTTTCCAGCTGACGTGCTGCTTTCAGTTTCTCTGCCTCACTCGTCTCCGCTGACAGGAGCAGTAGATTGACCGGTGATGCTTTATTAGTCCCTCGGAGGAACGGCAGGGCAGCCTCGATGTCCATCGGCCGGTTCAGATTGGACAGAATCCTGAGCACCTGCATTTGTGTTGCAATGACTAGAGGTAATATTTGTCCAGAAGCGTTGACATTTCCAAAATCCAAAATCTCTGCCAGGCTCAGCACACTCGGGGAAGCCTTGGCAGCCTTCTTTTCGGTCCCGGACAGCTCAGTCAGCCTTCTCTTCAGGACCCGGAGCTCCTTCACGGCATGTTCCGTCAGCCCCAAGCTGATGAGCTTTCCGACAAGGGACGACAAGCCGGCTTCGAGCTGCAGATTCGAGAGGTTGATCTTGCCCCCGCCCTCTAGATATCGCAGTGCAGAGAAAGCAACACGGGCACACTCGACGGTGGACAAGCAGCCGGTCGAGGCGTTCGGGACAGGCTTCGCGGGTCTCGCAGACTTCTTGGTGACCTCGGGCGATGTAGATACTGTGTTAAGATCACGCGGTCGCATCGGGGTCATGGGCGCCGAGTTCGATCGTCGGATGCGCCTCCGGGCCGGCGTCTTCGTCACATCGTCCTCTGCAGTTGCCGCCCTCCGTGGCGTCGGTGGTACCTGGGCTCTGGCAGCATCGCCGAGGGACTTCAACGTCGCGTTAATGACATGTGTTGCCAGTAAAGCCTTCTCTTTTGCTGAAAGTTCTGGTTTTTCCCCTCCTGTCGCCCGCTTGCCGCCCGTTCTTGGTGTTGTTCCATTCTGCTTTATTTTTGTGGATGCTCGGGCCGTTTTCGATGTTGTGGCGTCTTTCGTAGGCTTAGAGCTGGCATCTGAAGCGTCTGGAAGCAGAAGGGTCTTCAACAGGACTGTTGTTGCAGGCGTGCAGGTCGCGGTCGAAGCAACTGCTGCCTTTGCGGTAGCTGCTTGGTCTTGGAGGGAAGCCATGTAAGAAGGGGGGAAAGCATTAAGAGGCGGAATGCGAAGGATCTTTAAATCATATCATGACCAAGAAGATTGTGCAAGAGAACTCAAAGGGATCCAAAACGTGTTCTAAGAGGGATATAATCTGAAGGCGATGCGCTCAATGTTGAAGATGCTGCTGCTTTGGTATGCGCGCTGTTCAAGCTTTTGGTGACGGGAAGTCAACGGCTGGGGGACGCTGCACGCTGGTTGACCGGGTAACGCCGAGGACCCCCCCTGCAAGGCCTCGAAATTCTGGGCAACCTACTATAGACCTGCTAAACCTTAAAACTTTCAACCACTTCATTGCCTGACCCCTCTAAAGAACCAACAACACCACCACTACCAAAGCCGCAATGGATCGCATGGCAATACGGCAAATAGTCCGCCCACGAGGCTCTCTGAGGCCACCATCCACGACCCGATTCATCCTGCCCAACAAGCGCACCCTCTCCACGGTCCCGCGCATCGCCGAAGTCTCCTTCTGGAAGTCCCTCGTGCCGAAACCTCTCCGACGCGAGAACCGCCATCCATCGAGCCCCAATGCGCCCAAGAAATCCTGGCTCTCCAAGGAATGGAATCCAGCGACATTCTTCATCGTCATATTTCTGCTGATTGGCTCCATGTCGATCCAGATGATCTCCCTGCGGAAGAACTTTGATGCGTTCGTGCGTCGTTCCGATGTGCGCATTGGCCTGTTGAGGGAGGTTGTGGAACGGATCCAGAATGGTGAGGATGTGGATGTCGAGAAGATACTGGGCACGGGCGACCCAGAGACAGAGGCTGCGTGGGAGGAAGTGCTGGAGGAAATTGAGAAAGATGGCGCCCTGAAGAAGGAGAAGAAACAAGACAAGGGCAAGGCGAACGAGGCATCATCACCCGCCATCACGAAGGCCGTGGCCGTTCCCAAGTCCGTAATGGACGCAGCGCCTACGAGAGAAACGCCTGTTGCACAAGAGCCATCGAAGGGGCGCACGGCATATTTTTTCTGAAAATATTGGTCGCTACGCCTTTTGTTCTATCTGTGCAAGATTGGAGGGCGAGGAGTCATCATGACAGAAAGTCTTTGAACACACCACTTCCCTGATCTTCAAGACGTGCCGCCTCGTCTGCGATGTGAGGCTCAGGAGATGATCGCCGCAACGAATTGACCAGCTCTGGGAGCAGGTGCTCTGTGGACATATCTATCCTCACTCCCTCGGCCCCGCCCTGCCCGGCATGTAGGTCGGCCACGAAGGCCTCCTCCCCTCTCACACCGCCCATGTTCACGATGGCTATGGACACCCCTCGATCCTTGGCTCGTTTGACCAGCCTCCATGCCGAGTATGTCGCGAGGGAGGTTGCCAGAATGAGCATCCTGCCGGCTTCATCGACCGCTTGTTCCGCCGCCACCTTGACCTGGGCAGGGATGCTCTCACCAAACATGATGACAGCAGGTTTCAGGATGCCGCCGGTACTCGTCGACTTCCACGCTCCATCCAGGTCAACCTCGACCTTCTGCTGCGACCCATCTGGCGCTGGCGGGGGGGCTGTCAGACAGCTCTGACAGGCCGGATATCTGAACGTTGTGTATGGGGCATCTGGCAGATCGACATCACCATCGGGATTCGTCCTGATCCCCTTTGCCGTCCTCTCCTCAGGGTTCTCGGTGTCCAGCGCACCCGATGCGATCACCTCTTGCAGGAATGAAGCCCAGGCAGGATTGAGCCGTGCGAGCTCCTCCTGGAAGAGATCGCGTGGAAACTCGCGACGGCAGGAGGTACACACCAGGTTCCGCAGATAGCCATGTAGCTCAAGCGTAGGAATTTCAGGGTGTGCTATTGGGTGAAACGAGTCGACGTTTTGCGTGATGACCCTCTTCACCTTGCCGTATCGTGCCAGGTCCCGCACCGCATAGTGACCCGCATTGGGCCGCGCCTTGTGGAGCGTGGTCCATCCCAGGAATGACCGTGCCCAGTAACGCTTCCTGGCCTCGTGAGAGGAGAGAAATTCGTGATAGTAGATGGGTCTGTAGGTCTTATTGAGACGGTACGTGCCGTTATCGCCTCTGTAGTCAGCCAGGCCCGACGCGACTGATAGCCCGGCGCCAGAGAGGACGAGCGTAGAGTCGGACAGGCCTTTCCTGACGGGGATCGGCGAGGTGAGGAACTCGTGAAGTGCGCTGACGGCACCGGACAGTGTGCCCGCTGAGGCAGGAAGAACTGTCGGCGGTGAAAACTTTTCTGTATACGGGATACGGAGGAGAGCTTTCTTCATCATGAGTGGTGGCCTTTTCTGGTCCAGAACCAGAGCTGCAACCCTGTCAAGCTTATATGACGGGGTACGCAAGCCTCCACGTACGCGAGGCTGGCCAAGTGTGCTTGCTGGTTGGTCCAGGAGGAGCCACGGGAGGGGGGTCTTGGCGGTTGCTGCTGTTGCTGTGCTGTGCTATGCTATGCTATGCAATGCAAGGCAATGCAATGCAAGAGGAAATGAGAGACGGCGATTCAGGGTTGTGTTGGGCGCCGGGAGTGTGGTGGGAGTACACCGGGTTCGGAAGTCTGGAAGTCTCACGATGGTGGTGGTGCTGGAATTGGCAAGTGGTTGTCGTCATCATTAGCCATGCTGCGACTCATTGCCTAAGTGACAATTAGCTACAGCAAGCCCCTGTCCGGACCATCAAGCCTTCCCCCATTTCCCGACGCCCCACTGCTAATTGTGGCTTTTTATCTGATAGCACATACTACGTACCACTATACACTTCGTAGCACTATGTATCTACTATGGTACAGCAAGTAAAGTAGTACTACTAATACAGTGAATACTACATACTATATGTATACTAATCTATTGAAGCTCAGTGGTAGCTGCCCCCCCCTGTTGATGGGCTGAAAGAGGTGACATAGAGTTCAGGAGGGTTCTCTTGGCATGTGACATGTTTGCAAAAGTACAGTCTGCACTGTGTCGATTTGTGTATCTGTCTTCTATAAGTTTTTTCTTTTCTTTCCTTTTCAGCAGCATAACATAAAAGAAATGCTTCTAAATAACCTTAAGTAGATATGTTTGGAAGGTTCGAAAGAGATATCGAGGAATTACTCGGTACCATGTTGGCATACATAGATAGTACATTCATTCATTCAGTGTACAGGCAGCATAGTAAACCCTGCTGACAAACAAGAGAAAGAAAAAGAGAGAATTAAAGGAACCCTTCCAGGGGCAGCAGGGTAGGCTATGCATTAGCTCTTCCCCAGCTCAACGGCGGCCTGTAATGCTTGGCATGATGCAACAAGCAGTAAACTTTTTTTTAGCAGGCCATAGTTTTCACACCTCAATTTCACTATGCATTTGTGTTTAGGCTGGGATTTACCAGTCCTTCCACTCTAATTTCTTGACTCACCAAAGTACCTCCAAGCCTGCTCCAAGCTTGTTCCTGCACTTGCATTACCCACAGCACAACACCTCGCCCTGCATTGTGCCTACACACCCACCTTCCCGTCGTTTCGGTTCATCCTTTCCTCTTTCTCCCGCTCACTCCCTTGTACCCTGGTCTGGTCTGGTCTTTTTAAATTTCCATTGTCTTGTTCTGTTCTCGTTCTAGTCTGTACAGTACCATTCCCTTGTCGAGGTCTCAATTGATGCCTCCTATCAGCCCCTCCTTCTCCTCCACCTCCTCGTCCCTGAGGAGGTCGTGCATCCCCTCTGCCCCGACCGCCCACAACCTGTCACAGTGCAACAACAACAGCAGCAGCAGCAGCAGGTATGTAGGCGCACAACTCAGATTCAGGCTCAGGCTCAGGCACAGCCCGGCCCCTCCTTTGGCACCACCAACCTGTGCCTCCATCACCTCGACCTGGCCCTGGGCATCCTTCCGAAACACCGTAAGGACACCTAATCCTCATCGGCTGTTGCAACCTCACCTACCTCAGACACGCGTCTACCAGACCTCCGCCCCCCTGTCTGGCCCTCCCTCCTCCTCCTCCTCCACCTCCACTCCTTTGTCGACTGGCACCTCTTCAAGTACAAGACCGTCGCCAATCTCCCAGCCATTATTCCTCCTACCCTCCTCATCTACACACCAACATAGCCCCCACAGACGACTGCGACCCAATTGGCTGTCTGCAGTCATGGCTACTGCCACCCAGACCCGTACCCATGGTGGCCATCACCATCACCATCATCCCAACGACAATGTCTACCTCACCTCTCAGAACAAGAATGATGCCGGTGTGCGCATCACCCGCATTGGCCTGTACTCCAACCTGGGCATGGCTGTGGCCAAGTTCATTGGCGGCTACATCTTCAATTCCCAGTCCATGATTGCCGACGCCTGGCACTCCCTGACCGATCTCGCCTCCGATGTCCTGACCCTTGCGACCGTTTCCTTCAGCCTGCGACCACCCACCGATAGATATCCGTCGGGGTTCGGCAAGGTCGAGAGTCTGGGCTCGCTGGGCGTCTCGGGCATGTTGCTTGCTGGCGGCATCTTTATGGGCATGAGCAGTCTGGAGTCGCTCTATGCGCACTTCATGATGGATCCTGCCGCCGCCCACGAGCTGCTTCACCACGGCCACGGGCATGCGCACGGTGCGCTATCGATGGGGCCTAGCATTCATGCTGCTTGGCTGGCCGCCGGCACGGTGCTGATCAAGGAATGGCTCTACCATGCGAGTAAGTCTGGACACTTTGGGGAAACTAGAAACCTGAAAAAGAAAAAGAAAAAAAAGAAAGAAAAAAAACAATTCCCGAGGTACCCGTGACAGAAAAGAGAGAAGAGAGCTGCTGTAGGCTAACGAATGACCCCCTAATCTACAGCTATGAAGGTTGCCAAGGAGCGCAAGTCACAGGTCCTCGCCTCGAATGCTATCCACCACCGCGTCGACAGCTGGACCGGCATCGTCACCATGCTGATCATCGTGGGCGCCAACGTCCTCAAGGATGCCACCTGGCTCGATCCCGTCGGTGGTCTCCTCATCTCCTTCCTGGTCATCAAAGGTGGCTGGGGCAATACCCTCTCCTCGCTCTACGAGCTGGCGGATCGCACCATCGACGACGAGGTTAAAAAGTCCGTTCGGCGACAGGCGCAGAAGAGCATCGAGAACATCAGCCAGGGTCACGAGGTGGAGCTGCGCGACGTGTCGGGTATTAAGTCGGGCCAGAACTATCTGATCGATGTCGAGCTTGCTGTTCCCGGCGGCTGGACTGTCGAGGACGTGCGCGAGGTCGAGAGCGCCATCCGCACCCAGATCGGAGCCAAGGTCCGTGGTGTACGCAAGGTCCGCGTCCGGTTTGTGCCCAAGGAGGCAGCGGCTCAGGGTGCCAAGTTTGACGAGTTCATTCCCGGCAGCGTGAGCCCTCAGTCTAGCCCCGAGCCGGAGGAAGAGGAACACAGCAATGGGAATGGCATCCATCACAACAAGCACGACTGAGTTCACACAAGCCTGCCTGCCTCACAGAAACAAGATACCCCCCCTGTTCTGGATTTAATGAATCATGGCAAGAGAGAGAGAAAGAAAGAAAGAGAGAGAGAGAGAGAGAGAGAGAGAGAGAGAGAGAGAGAGAGAAGAGAGAGCGCGCAATGTTGGCTGAAAGGTTTTTTCGAACTGTATTGTACAAATTGGTGGAAACGGAAGGCGTAAATACGCACTGCAGGACTGAAACTACATTGGGCGGCGTTTGGGAGACGGAAAGGGGTGGCAGTCTTGACTATCTGCTCATAGACCTTATGCAGACCTTTTGACGATCGTGAAGAGAGGCCCACTTCGATTTGTTATGGTGTTTTCCTTTTCCTTCCCCCCCCCCTGTAACTTCCAGTCTTTATCTCGTCAGAAGGTATACCGCGATTGCGGCCAAGGACAGCAAACTATCTGTCCATTTTGATCATGATGATCACGCGAGAACTCACCTTGGCTGTCACGGGTTGTGTCGGCACATTGGCGACGATAAGACAGAAGTCGCAGTCTCGTACGAGAATACAGTACGAGAAATAGAAGAAGGATTGCGTTGTCCAACATTGCATGTTCAGGTACCAACCTGTTGTGATTGGTGCGGTAGTTTTGATCAAAACCATCCAGGGGGTTACGTGCATTTTAGCCGGGAGCCGCGCGACCACGACGAGGCTGATTGTCGACCTCTGTTTCTTTTTTTCCCGCAGCCAGCGCAGGGACGATAAATAAAGTGGTGCCCCGCGATTGTCGTGGACAGAAGGGAGAGAGTCAAGCTGCCCCACGTCTGACGTCCCCTGGAAATTGGACCCCGGGACCCTTCTGACATCACTCACTGGCAGCATTCCAGAATCGAGACATTTTCATCTTTTTTGTTCTTTTTATTATTTCCCAGCCTTCACAGAGGTAAAACTTGATAAGATTCAAAAACACTACACATTATACATACAAATTATTGCAAGAAGGAAAAATCAGAAAAATGAGTGACGGCCCGCTATATCTGGGTTTCGACCTGTCGACCCAGCAGCTCAAAGGTTAGTCACTCAGTTGTCCGCGTTCCTTCTTCTTCTCGTCATCCCTCCCACCATCATTCCATAATGAATTTTCTTTTTCTTTTTCTTTTCTTGCTCCTAGGCTGTCAGCCAGACTTTGACCATACTGACTGCCTCCCTCCCACCACTCCTTCAACTTAGCCATCGTGATTCAGTCCGACCTGCACGTCCTGTCCGAGGCCAAGGTCGACTTCGACGCAGACTTTGGCGCCCAGTATGGCCTGACCAAGGGCGTCCTCGTCAACGACGCTGAGGGGGAGGTGTTCGCGCCGGTGGCCATGTGGCTCGAGGCCGTTGACCTCGTGCTGTCGCGCCTGCAAGAGAAGAAGGCGCCGCTGCACCGCGTGAGGGGCATCAGTGGTGCATGCCAGCAGCACGGGAGCGTGTTCTGGGGGCATGAGGCGGAGGCCTTGCTGGCAGGTTTGAAGGGTGATGATGAGAAGAAGGGGCTCAAAGAGCAGCTGGAGAAGGCGTTTAGTCATCCCTATGGTCCTAACTGGCAGGATCATTCAACGCAGAGCCAGTGTGATGAGTTTGATGCTGCGCTGGGGAGCAATAAGAGGCTGGCTGAGGTCACAGGGAGTGCGGCGCACCATGTGAGTGCCCCTCTCCCTCATCTTCTTAACAACTAACTGCATCATGGCCACTTGACGACAGCAATTGCTAACAAATGTGCGTGCGTGCGTGTGTCCACAGAGATTCACCGGCCCTCAGATCCTCCGGCTGCGCAAGAAGCTCCCCAAGATGTACGCCGCCACCTCCCGCATCTCCCTCGTCTCCTCCTGGCTCGCTTCTGTCCTGCTGGGCTCCATTGCGCCCCTCGACATCAGCGACGTCACGGGCATGAACCTCTGGGACATCCCGTTCAACACCTGGAACGAGGACCTCCTCGAGCTCACGGCGGGCTCGCGCGACGACGTCCCCGCCCTGCGCGCCAAGCTCGGCGAGGTCCGGCAAGACGGCGGCGGCAGCATGGGCGCCATCTCCCCATACTATGTCCAGCGCTACGGCTTCTCGCCCGCGTGCCAGGTGGCCCCCTTTACGGGCGACAACCCAGGCACCATCCTGGCGTTACCATTGCGCCCGCTCGACGCCATCGTCAGCCTGGGCACGAGCAGCACGTTCCTCATGATCACGCCCACCTACAAGCCCGACCCGGCGTACCACTTCATGAACCACCCGTGCACCCAGGGCCAGTACATGTTTATGCTGTGCTATAAGAACGGCGGCCTGGCGCGCGAGAAAGTCAGGGACGCGCTGCCGCCGCCCGTTGCCAAGGAGGACAAGGATAGGTGGGCCAACTTCAACAGGGCGGTGCTCAACACGCCGCCGCTGGACGTGCGGGACGCGGCCAAAGATAAAGCAAAGCTGGGGTTGTATTTTTACCTGCCCGAGATCGTGCCCAACATCAAGGCCGGGACATGGCGGTACGAATGCAACCCCGCGGATGGCACGGGTCTGCAGGAGTCCAGCACGAAGTGGACAGCAGAAGAGGACGCCCGCATCATCGTCGAGTCTCAGGCCCTCTCGATGCGCCTGCGCTCGCAGAGCCTGGTGCACCCGCACGAGCAAAAGGGCGAGGGCGAGGGCGCGACGACGACGGGGACAACAACAACACAGCTGCTCCCCGCCCAGCCGCGGCGCATCTACCTCGTCGGCGGCGGCAGCCTCAACCCTGCCATCGCGCGCGTCATGGGCGACGTGCTGGGGTCTGCCGAGGGCGTGTACAAGCTCGACGTGGGCGGGAACGCCTGCGCGCTGGGCGGGGCCTACAAGGCGCTCTGGGCGATGGAGCGCGACGTGGACAAGGGCGAGACGTTTGATGAGCTGATTGGGAAGCGGTGGAAGGAGGAGGGGGCTATCGAGAGGGTTGATGATGGGTACAAGAAGGGGACATTTGAGAGGTATGGGGATGTGCTGGGTGCCTTTGGAGAGATGGAGGAGAGGATCTTGAAGGTGGCGCATAACTGAACAGAGCGAGAAATTGAGACGTTCATTTAAACAGAAAGCAGTTCTGGATTTTGAGGCAGTCGGGAGAGAAGGAAAGTATATAGTCATGCTAGAATACTTGAAAGGAGTTTGTTATAGACTTTCCCCCCCTCCTTCTTCTGTCTCTTTTGATTCACTGTATTCCACACCCTCTTCTTGTCTCACAATCAACTGTCGCTTTCCTACAGGACCGAGTATCTTGGTGTAGCATCCGTGGTATATTTTCTCTCGACTTGAGCATGCAACCTGCTTCAGTACTTGCTGCAGCCTTTACAAGCCCAAAATACTCACTGCTATATACACCATGAAGAGAAAGAAGAAGGTAGAAAGAGGGAGAAGAAGAAGAAAGATCAAACAAGATTGTGCAGCTGTGGGAGTAATGCTAGTTGATAGCCCAGGCAGAGAGTTAATGAAGAATGTATCTAACCTGACAGGTACGCGCTTGTAGATCTCCCCTATACTACGTCACCACACCCATGGAGATCCCTCTCTTCTGTCTCTCTCCTTCCTCCTCCCTCGGACCCCTGCTTTTCTTTCCTTCTTTTCACATGCCATTAATTTCCCAATTCATCACTCTGTTTTTCTCCTCCATTGACTCACTCGTGATCCTTAACTCTCTAAGGCTCACATCAAACAAATCTGATGTAAGGGTTTCAATTCCAATAGCAAGGCAGACAGACACCTCAGAGCAGCTATTTTTTCTTCTTTGCCTTATCTTTCTTGTTCTCTTCACCCAACTGGGGCTGTGAGGAAGGGGAGGGGCAAACATGATTCTCGGCCCAGTTTCCTACCTCGACTGCCTGGTCTTCGTCATCTTCCTAGCACCACAGCTCCTCCTTGACGTCGGCATTCTGCAGACCCTGAGGGTCATACTAGAAGTACTGCCATTCCTAGGTACTACCAAACCCCCAACCCCCCTCTTCAACCCAAAATACACGAGAAAGGAGAGAAACAGGAATAAAAGCTAACGCGCCTATCATCTCACAACAGTCATCCAACTACCCATCACCTTTATTATAGGACACTACCTACTCCCCACCCCACAGCAGCCTGCTTTTGTGCGCCAGGCTTCTGCCTTTGAGGATTTTGTCGTGAGGTGTGTGAGGTATGCATTTGCCAACATCAACCCCAAGGTCGGACGGGTGTTTTTCGGGAAGAAGGTTGCGCTGCCTTGGTTGCGCTGGCGGTTATTGCGCCATGGGTACCTGAGGTCGCCGGTGCACTGGCGAGAGTATCAAGATGTGAGTGATGTTAGCAGCATGAAGTTTATTTCCCTGCTTCATGCTTCTCTACCTGCTAATTTTCACAAATATAAATATATGTATATACATATGCATATATTGAGTCGGAACTGTCTACCTGTATAGCAAGCTGACCAGCCTCTCTGCTCTTCAGAGAAAGATCAAGGGCATCTGGGCTGTTGCCGACCCGGCCAAAAAGGCCGATATTGTCCTCTACTACGCCCACGGTAAAGAAAAGATACAAAATGGAGCCCTCTTCTCCAGTCCTCACCCGTGCCTTCTTTCAATTTACTAAAGTTCTTCTTTTTTTCTTCTCTAGGTGGCGGCTTCAGCATGGGCTCTGCTTACTTCTACCTCGAGTTTCTTCTGAGCTGGCTCAGCCTCATGAGGGACTCTGGGTACAGAAACCCTGCCGTTTTTGGGATCGACTATACCCTCGTGCCGGATTCGTGTTTCCCGACGCAGCTGGACGAGATCGTCACAGGATACGAACATGTCCTCAGCTTTGCCGGCGATCCATCTCGGGTCTGTGTTGCGGGCGACTCGGCCGGAGGGACGTTGATACTCAGCCTGTTATTGCATCTCGCGAACCCAAAGCTGGTCGAAAAGGGGAGGCCGCTGCCTGGAGCCTCCAGGCATCTCGAGAAGCCCGGTATGGCCGCGCTCATCTCGCCGTGGCCGACGCTTCACTCTCCTCTCTATCAAAACAACAGCAGTGACTTCCTTGATGCAGACGCGTTGCAGCTGTACGCATCCCAGTACGCAGGTGGTCCCGAGTTAATCGCTGACCCGTTGGCGTCGCCCGGCAACTGCAAGGATGTGAGATGGTGGAAGGACGCGAGCCCCTCGAGAGGCACCTTGATCGTGTACGGAAAGGAAGAGGTGTTCGCCCCAGAGATAGAGAAGCTGGTCCAGGTACTGCAGAAGGCTGGTACAGATGTGTCGGTCCAGGCGCAAGAAGCCGGTATTCACGCCTGGCCTGTGGCCTCGCTGTTCCTGGGCGACTCGACAGAGCAGAGGCTGAAAGGTCTGAGGAGCATTGTCGGTGAGATGAAGAGGCTCATCAGGCCCGGGAGTCCATAGACAGACTTCTGTGGATTGCAGCAGCAGGCAGCTGTCATGTCAGATTAGATCAAGTAATTTTTTTATTCCGTCATTCGGCGAAGCAGAACCACAAGGGAACCAGAGTGGTGTGCTCGGCTTCTTCGTGGCTGCTGTGAACCGCCTCTGGAAAGTTGATTGCTCTTCTTGTATCATCATTCATGACGGTCATACTCTCTGAAGTCTTTGTGTATGCGTGCGTGCGTGTGTGTGGGTATGTATGTATGTGACACTGGATGGGAAATGGTAGGTACTGGCTTGGTAGGCTCTGCTCGAGTCAGAGCGTGCCCTCAGTTTTGTCTGCCTGCCTTGTTTCTGCCAACAAAGTTGGAATGCGCCCGATGTGGCATCGCGTACTGAATGAAAGTAGGGTCAAAGTTCAACACAGAAACTTGTTCTGGAAGACTGTTGATGTGCTGTAATTCCGTGTACTGCCTACGTGAGCTACGCGTTCTGCCTTGGCATCGCCCTTGCAAACAAACCTCAAGGCATGGCGTAAATCGCTCACCTTCACCATGAGCCATCATGAGGAAGTAGCGTACGATGGTGCGAGGGAATGCTAGAAAGACCAGAGGAGCCAACTGACGGCAGCAGATGGTAGGGGCTGCGCAAAGGATACTGTATTGGCTACCACAAGCCGTAGTGAGACCGGAAGCGGATGGACGGTCGCGACACTTGTCCACGAAATCCACGTGTGCTTCTGCTCATGATTTAGTATTTTCATCGCGGCCTCTCGCGACGAGTCCTGGTCCTTTGAGGTGTGTGCATCGTGGGGAGGGACAGTGCAGCCATAGAGAGAGAGACAAAGCCTTGTCGTCAGAAAAATAATCGAGCAGCGAGAATTTGATGCAGATCTCTAGAAAAACGGCCGGTCCAAAGCAGGGACGATGAGGGAAGGGGACCTTTGCCCGATGAGGGTAAGCGCGCCACCAAAGGCACCCTTACCTGTAGACAGGCACGGCCTGGTTTTGGAGGCCCTGCGATGGTCAGCCTGGTCCGTAACGTGCATATAAGGACGGGGTGTCCCACGGGACAGGAGCTTGCGTACCGTGCACATGCAAACCCCCCCCCCCCTTCACAGGAGGGCTCCAGTGTTCAGCCGCCGCAAGCCCAGCGCACCAACCAGCCTACCAGCCTACCAGCCAAACCATCAACCAGCTTGAAGACCTTAAGCCTACTTTCTCAGAGGAGTCCATCCCTACCCACACCATTCCCGCACCGCCGCACGTTCTTCTCAAAGATCTCATTTGGTCATTTCGACCCTAATCCTTTTCGATTACCGAGATCTTGGAGTCCTTGTCAGACCCCTGAGGAAGAGCACCACATCATCAAATATCGAGACATAAACAAGCTTCAATCGACCATAGCAAAAGCACAGGGTGAAGGGTGAGAGGAAAAGAGGGAGAAAAGAGAGAAACAAATTGTTTCGTTCGACATACTTCCATTAGTCGATGCACTCTCTCCTTTTCTCTGCCTCCTGACTCTTTCCTTCTATCCCTTTTCTCTCTCAGGCCACAGACACTTGAAGCTGCAGCTCTAAGTAAGACTGTCTTGACCCGAGGATCACAGCAAGTGAGCCAACTACACCACCTTTTGCTGTCCAGACTTTCAGCCGTGTCTCGCGTGCGAAAAGTCTGCCCTAGTTTTGGCAACACTTGATCTGAGGCGACTTTGGTCAAGCAAAGAGAGAGAGAGGGTTCAGAAACCGTTGCCAGCGGCTGCCACTGGCATTGACCAAAGAAAGACGGTCCATCAATACTCTCCTGCTCTTCTGTGTGCGTCTTGGTGTGAACGGTGGTTTTTCCTTTGATTGCCATTCAAGGACACACTGTTGCTGGAAAAGTCTTGTCTCTTTTCTTCATCTCTTTTTTTGTGGTGGAAGAAGAGAAGAAGGAGGAACACACAGTTTCTGAAAGGATTCAAGATTTATTAGGACCCCCAGCGCTGCATTAGCCCCGCGTCGGCGGGGTGTGTATTGCTGCAGGCTGCCCCTCCTCTTCACAGGCGATCTCCCTACCAGTGGTTGCACTGCCGCCTGCAGTCAATTTTTTTTATTGGGGGCGGCATCTTTTCCCCAGCAAGTGTGTGCGCTTCCCGGCTGGATTCCTTGGGACTTTCGTCGCAGCCCAGACACCGCCAGGAATTCCTGTACGTGCCCCCACAAAAAAAAGTATAAGGCCCATTGTGCCCTGTTTATTTTAAGGTATTCAAAAAGCTGGGACCGGAACAAAAGCAAGCATGTCTGAAGACGATTACCGGCCTAAATCCCCCAACCTCAACTTCTTTGGTGACCAGGATCAGCCTCAGCAGCAGCAGCAGCAACAACAACCTCTTCACTTTCACCCTGACCCTTCACCGCAATCCCTACGCGTCCAGCCCCCTCCACCGGCCCCGAATTGGTACCAGTCTCCCCAGGACGATCCGTACAGTCACTCTCGCTCTTATTCGTATTCTGCACACGTTCAAAGCCCGACCGACGCTGGCTTCTACTCATACCACCAACACCAGCCCATGAGTGCGACAACTCCCTCTTACAACTCACCGCACTTCCCGCCCCACCAATACCAGCAAAACCAACACCACAACCAGGCACCACAGCAGGCTTATACGGGACCGGAGCAGCAACCCTACTTCCCACCTGTCGTCACGCCACACGGTCTTCAGCACGTAGCCCCCTCCCAGGCCTCTTTTCCCCAGCAGCCAGGCTACGTCAAGCAGGAGAACCCCGACCCCACCAAAGAGGTCAAGACCGAGGCACCAGAGCAACAGCCCAAGATGCCTCCTCGACGTGCGGCGGCGGCAGCGGCAGCAGCAGCAGCCGACCCCCCAATCATCGAGCCTTCCCCGGTCAAGACCAAATTCCCTACTGCACGCATCAAGCGTATCATGCAGGCCGACGAGGAGGTCGGCAAGGTGGCTCAGCAGACGCCCATCGCCGTCGGCAAGGCGCTGGAGCTGTTCATGATCCAGCTGGTCTCCAAGAGCGCAGAGGTCGCGCGGGAGAAGAACTCTAAACGTGTCACCCCCGCTATGCTAAAGCACGTCGTCGAGAACGACGACCAGTGGGACTTTCTCCGAGAGATTGTGAGCAAGGTGGACCCCGAGAAGGAGGGCGCCGGCAGCAAGGGAAAGGGCAAGGCCGAGAGTGACTCGGAGGAGGACTCTGACCAACCCAAGAGGAGAAGGGGCGGCGGGAGGAAGAAGAAGGCTGTATAGGAGGAGGACGACGACGACAACGACGAGGGCAGGTGTAGCGACTCGAAATAGTCGCCAGTGTTTTGGTATGCTGAAGGTCACATCAGAAGAGGGTGGCATACGATACCCAGTACGGAAAATGCGATGGTACTTTTTTTTCTCCCTCACACGAAGGGCGAGTTAGGACTGGACCCTTCACAAGACGCAAGCGAGGAGGGCTTCACCGCTATGGGACACATCCAATCCGTATTGTTATATTATCAGAGTCATCGTAGTGGTCACTTGGTGTGGACTTTGGACGGCCAGAGAAATCTTCAGTCACTCAATATCCACATTGCCAGGGCTCATCAGGGACAGCTTGGCATAATGTCCCATTCCCCTGTATACACATAAAATGGCTCTGACTTTGCCATCCACACGCCATCGTGGAATAATCTTAAAAGGTCTAAGACAAGACAAATCTGGTAACAAATGCCAAATTCGGGACTGCCTGGTCTAGCGGCTTGGTTGGCAGCGGGCTTGAGGCGATCATTACAGGGGATAACAGAAATGGTGTGCATCCATGAATAGGGGCGAAAAATTGGAGATAATTTCAGAGTTCAAGTTCTATACGCGATGATCGACCATGATGTATCTACAATAAGAATAGAAGAGAAGGAGAGAAGAATATGAGCGAGAAAGGAAAAAAAAAAATTTAAAAAAAAATTGCATGCGATCCCCTTGGTCTTGAAGATCCGTGAGCACTGACTGGCTGGCTCTCGAACGTAATATATTTGCCCATAGAGGATTCAGAAAGGATCGAATCCAGTATTGTCTCAAGCATTTCGGCGCTGAAAGGCCTGATTATGGTCCGGGGGTACTAGAACACAGAAGTACAGCAGTGTACCTGCGGCTTAACCACTGGGTAAAAAGTGTCTCACAGCGCGGTAGATTCTGATGCTCGTAAAGACAAAATATGTCGGCAGGATCAAGAAATCAGTTTTCCTGATGAGACTCATCAATAGTACATCAAATAATCATTGGTGAGGATGGGTTCACTGGAAAAGAACTGAGAGAAATGTATTCTTGTAGCATGCTAATGTAGTATGAAATACCATATAGCTGTTAGGTTGAGGCCTGGCATTCTGAGGCTGCCCGGCTGAAAGGACGCCTGTTGGCTGATCCCCAGTGGGCCTGCCTGGGCCCAGTGCGAGTCTGACAAATAGGGCTAACCATAGTACCTCTCTATAGAGGGGGAGGCCCCTACTGTCGAACGTATGTAATAGAGCGTTTATTACTATCCGCACCGTACCGTACCGAACCGTGCCGCGACGCCCGCAGTGCGCGAGACTGACCAGGTGAGCTCTCCTAACTAACCTAAACCAAATACAACATCCTCCCGGGGTCGCTTCCAAGGACAGATCAGGGACTGGACAGTTAATCAATCAGCTTTATTTGCCGACAACACGACCAACCCACCCATCCACCACCCGACGTCCTCGTCCTCGTCGTCGTCCTCCTCCTCCCCCGTTGGAGAACCACAACCACGATCAAGACTTCTACTGTGGCCCTCTGCGAGACATCCCAGACGATGTTGAGCTACCAGCCATGATCAATCATCCGCTCTTGCTACCATACTTTAATGTCGAAAATATATGAAGCAATCCGCGCTCGCGGCCCACATCCCTGTCGCTCCTTTCTCGCGCGCGTTCCTCTTCGAGCACCTTTAGCAGCTTCTACATCACCGGTCCGGACCCTGCGAGCTCCTGGGCGGTGACCTGACTTCGGCCCCTCACACTTCCACCCCCCACAAGCCGGAAGCCGCTGCTGCCTCGAGACAGCTCCCCAGTACCAATGTCGTGGGATCTTTTGCAGCGGTTCATTGACTCGGACGTCTTCAATCAGAACCCTTTTCTTCCCGTATTCTACCTGACGTATGGCCCCTTGGCTCACATGAGTCCCCCCGTCGAGAGAGCGAGAGGGGCCCTGGGAGCTCCCCCGTGTTGCTGTGGACGGATGCTGACAGTCTTGGGGCGCGCAGTCGCTACGCCGAGCATGTTGGAATACACCATATACTATGCTCGAAACTTCGCCAATTCCCTTACGAGGACATCGAGTTCTTCTGTGCGGCCCACCTGAAACCTATCCACATGACCGAGACGGCGCTGACCAGATCTAAACAGTACCGCAATTATGCCACCTAATTGTCAGCATCAACAATGAGTCTATGGCATTGGAAGAGTTCATATTAGACCTGTGCGAGGAGTCCGTCACTGGTGCGCTCCTGGTATGTCTATAATTCTGCGACCATGGCCAGGTCTCACTCGCTAATGCCTTCCCCCCCTCCAAGACCTACTGGCTCTTTCAGAGTTACGTCCACGATCTCTCTTCGAATCCCCAGTCCGAGGCCTTCAGGACATGCAGGAGGGTGTACAACAAGGTCCAGAATGTCGTTTTTGGCTTAGGAGAGGCCGTTAGGCATGACAAGATCAAGGAGAATGCGATACCAGTCACCATACTGGCCAGCTTCGTGCTGGCCAGCGTGGCCGTCCCAGGTCTGGCCAGTGCCGCGGGCCCAATGGCCGTTGCGCAAGCTCGAAGACCGCAGCCCATCGATGATACGATCGTGACAGAGACCACGAACCAGCCCAAGATTGTGAGGGCGCATACAGTTTCGGCCAGCTCTGCGAACAGGCCTCGGCGCACCGTCAGGGAGACGGGACGAGTGACCAGTGCCCCAGACCCCAGGGGATCACCAGATTCCACGCGGGGGCATCCAGAATCACAAAGGAGATCGAACCTTCCTCCTTCGCGACCGACGTCTTCTTCAGGTTCTACCGTGACCTCACCTGTGAAAGAGACAGGAAGGCGGCTGCCAAAACATCTCGATCTGGGCGCGGTCGATGCGAGACTCAGCACTTCCTCGCTTCCCTTGCCCGACGTGAAGTCGCCGCTCCCTCCTCGTCCTCCTACTCCGCAATCCGCAGGCCTCCCTGCGGCCATACGGCCCTCTGATGCGTCGACTTTGGCTAGAAGGCATTCGCACCATGCCAAATCGGCTGTGAACCAGACGGATATGACGACAGTTCAGAGGGCGAGGGTCCTAAGGTCGAACTATTTCCGTTGCCAGACACAGTTTCTCACTGCTCTAGAGGACATCTCCAACAGGCTGGTGATCGTCCCGAAAGCTGCCCGTCTGAGTGCTTTGCGTGGCGAACTGGGCATGCTTGCGCAGGACCTAACTGACGCCATGGTTCTGGTCGACATACCGTTCATCTGTCCGCCTACCTTGACAGACGGCTCGCCAGCCAGGAGCAAACACCACCGGATCGTTCGTCTGAATCCAGCCGAGGCGACTGTCCTTAACAGCGCAGAAAAGGTACCCTACCTGCTGATGGTTGAGATTCTACGAGATGACTTCACCTTCGATCCAGACTCTCCAGACAACAGGAAGCTGCTACCACAGTTGTTGGAGCAGGGCTCAAGGAAGCGCATGTTTGACCTCTCTGAATCTGCAAGGGCGCCGGCTGCCTCAAGGACCCCAGAGACGGTTGTAGACCCTCCCATGGATAGCGTCTTCGAGCCGAGCTCAGGAGACCTCGCCAACTCACCGCAGCTCAGGCCGGTCGACAGCAACTTATCCGACAAGACGGTTATAGAGAAGAAGCCCGTCCCACAGCGCCAACCGAGCTTAACGACAACGGTCTCTACGACGTCCGAGCTAGTGACGCCCAGGAGTTCAGCAACCTCGACATCGCGCTCTAGTAGTCCCAGCGGTCGATCGCTAAGGAAAATGACCATCTCCTCCGCCCCAAGTAAGGCCTCAGTGGATCAGCCGGATTTCTCTGCCCTCGCGATCCACATGCGGACCGCCTCACAAATGCTAGCACAGCTAGAAGCTACGTCTGGCAAGAGACCAAAAGGAGAAGTGGCGGCGATTCAAGCCAAAATCATTGCCAGTATGCAAAAGCTGGAAGAGCAAAACTTCGATGTGGATGACGGACAGGGACCGACTTTCGACCAGATCATGGCGAAGACGCAAGCCCAGAGTATAGCCACGGCCACCGATCTGGACGAGGAGACGAACCTTGACCCGGCAATTAACGCCAGCGCGGGCGTGGAGCGTATGGAAAACGATTTCAAGACGGGAGGTTTGCAGAGGAAGAGCGATCGAGATGACCCCAGCGCAGCAGTCTTTGGTGAGGCGTGGGAAGCCAAAAAGGAGCGGATCCGGCGCTCCTCACCATACGGGTGGATGAAGAACTGGGACCTTGTGAGCGTCATCGTCAAGACCGGATCGGACCTCCGGCAAGAAGCCTTCGCGTGCCAGCTTATCGATGTCTGCAACCGAATCTGGGTTGATGCAGAGATTGGCGTGTGGGTCAAGGTGATGAGGATTCTCGTCACGGGAGAATCCTCGGGTCTTATCGAGACCATTACCAACGGTGTCTCCCTGCACTCCATCAAGCGCAGCCTGACCTTGGCGTCTGTCGAGGCTGGCCAGAACCCCAGGAGACGTATCGCGACGCTGAAGGACCACTTTGTGAAGGCTTTTGGCGACACTGATAGCGATGCATACAAGGCAGGGGTCGATGCTTTCAAGCGATCTCTTGCTGCGTATAGTATTATATCCTACGTTTTGCAGCTGAAGGATAGGCACAACGGCAACATCCTCATCGACAACGAAGGCCACATTATCCATATCGACTTTGGTTTCATGTTGTCCAATTCTCCAGGCAGTGTCGCTTTTGAGGCGGCGCCTTTCAAGTTGACACACGAGTATGTGGAGGTATTGGGTGGTATTGGGTCCCCCGAATGGGAGGATTTCAAGAAGCTTTGCAAGCAGGCTTTCTTAGGTGAGCACCGCAATACGAATGGAGGAAGATTGATGGCAAGGGGAAAGGAGTCGCTAACTAGGCCATTAGCGTTACGAAAATCGGCCGACAATATTGTCGATCTGGTTACTATGACAGGCAAAGACTCCACCATGCCTTGTTACGCAGCTGGGGTGGCATCCATCCAGATGAGTCTGCGCCAGAGATTCCAGCCCCAGCTGAGCCCTGAGAATGCCGAGTTGTTTGTTGAGACAGACCTGATTGGCAAGTCCATCGGTAGTTATTATACTCGATTGTAAGGCTCCTTTGTGGAAACCCATGCTCCTCCCTATCGTCCTCGGTGCTGTACTAATGAGGTTTTGGTCTCTAGATACGATACCTTTCAATTTAGAACACAGGGCATCTACTAGTGATGGGCTATCGGTCATACTTTGGAATCTAGGAAACAAAATCACGGCGGCGACGGACTGCATGTCGTTCACTATTACCAGCGAGCATCATCTGAACGGCGTTGGGCTCATTAGACGTGTGATGCGTGTCAGGTTACCCTGTCAGCTTTCTTTGATGGAGGGGCGAATGTGTTGTGAACTGAGCTTCACCAGCGGATAGAATACTGCGAATAGGCAGACGAGCGAATTACATATACCACCTTATAAACGAAAAGCCACCTCATGGTGTTATATATCCATCGGTTTTGAGAGCAAATGTACCATCGCCCAATATAGAGTTGAACGCAGATGAATTAAGCACTCATCATCCAGGTCCTTCATCGCCCCAAGTCAGATTACCTTTTCCTTCTTCGACCTGCTCTCTATGAAGGCTGTCATCAAGGGAAAGGGGGGACACACTCGCCTGCTAGAAGTTTGTGCTCTACCCTCATCGCTTGCTACGGAGAGGGCAGCATGCTGACTTGAATCATTGACCAATCCATAGAGAAATGGGCACTGGCACCACACTTGTCATGTGTAAGGTCTTCTGGGAAACTTGAAGACTGGGACTTGAGGCCCATGCTCTAAGAGCAGGAGGTATTGTTAAGTGTCGCCTGCCCTGAGTAGGAGTTGAGTTCCTTTCGGCCTCTCTCACCAGTGTTTTGTTCACTATGCTGGACAAGGGTCTTGATGATGGCAACAATAGTGTCGATCAAATCCAGCTGTTCAAGAAATCAAGTCGCAGCTGCCAATCTGTTTATTTTGTTTTCCCCTCCTCCTTGCCTTTCTTTTGGCCAGCTTTCCTTCCTGTTTTCCTGATCCAGCCCACCTTCTTTTCCACTTCTCGCTTCCTCATAACCGTTCTTTGAATTCAACCGGGCTTCCTCTTGTGCCAGAAGAGTGTGAAAACGAGGAGGACGTGATATGCAGGAAGGTTTGATACTCCGTCTCTCTGATCAAATCAGCTTCACCTGTGACCCAACAGATCGCCTTCCACGGCCCTTCTATGCAGACACGTTCTTCACGAACAAAATACGCAGCTCTCTGGAGAGCTCGCACTTGCCCGATAACATCATACAGGCGACAGCTAGAGCCAACAGGACGACCAACCTCATCCAGCCAACCCTTCTTTGGCGGTCCTAGTTGCCCCCTCTAAGAGACAGTCCAGCTTTTCAGCCAGCATCTATCTCATCATTCAGTCAGATTGACTACCATCTCAATCATCATCATACTGCGAAGATGTCTCCTCGAAGCCAGTCCCGTTCCGTCTCCTGCGACTCCATCATACCACATGAATGGACCGCCTTTGAGATTCGCACGCTCATCTGCCTCATCATCAAAGGCGAGCACGAGATTTCGCCAGAGCCCATTGACTTCGCTACTAAGCTGAGTACGTGTCCCTCTAATAATACTTTCTCCTCTTAGGGAGTCTTATAATTCCAAGATATCCAATATCACATGAGAAGACGCTGGCATGAGGCTACATCTCAAGAGCCGTCCACCGTTGCATCATGGGAAGCTGCTGACGCCCGGTACGTGTATAGACAAGGCACTGAACCCTCGTCAAGCTGACAAGGAGACTGTGCAAGAGCACTTCAACCGTGACATCCCTGTTTATGATGTCCAAGAGATGCTTCAGCGCATACTCTCCAAGAAGAAGCACGCCGTGGACGTTAGCGAGCGTCACCCAACGACGGTCGTAACCAAGGCCAAAATCCAGGCGTTTGTGCGATCTCTCGATTTCGACGGAAGTGAGGAGGAGTGGGATGTTATGGGTCGGAAGGAACGGGCCGTCGTGGAGAGGAGCAAGATGCGAGCGAGGCTGGAGACGGAGAAGAAGGGAGGTGAGCTGAGCCCGTGTCATCAAGATGAGAAGAGCAGGCGCCGGGCGGTTATCGAGGACGATCCCAACGCGCAAAGACTGCTGGCTGCTTGGGGCATGGGTTCTAGCTTCTGGGAGGGTGAGTTCCTTTATGTTGTTGACCACGCACTCTCGGCTCATACTGACAACCGTTTATCACCACCTATAGACCCTCCCCAGGGGATTGCCTCCCAGACCCAGGGCCAAGTCTATCCCGACCATTGGACCCCTGGCTTTGAGTACGACTCCAGCGCCATTCACTTGGGCAACGGCTCCTCTGCCGCCACTTCCTTCATGCCTGCGGCTGAAGACGATAGCTACTTATTCGGCCCCGAGACGCCTCGTGGCTATAAACCAGCCGGCACTCCTCTTGACATGCGTACGCCTACCTGGAATGGCCCTCTCGCGCGCGAGGTCCCCAGCATCGATGGTGGTTGGATGGGTGGCTTCACGCCAGGTGTACTGGCGTCTCTGCCTGGTCTGGCTAGCAGTGTCGGTGGAACAGGTTATGGTGTTCTCGAGGGAGGCTACGGTGCCGCTCATCGCGAGCTCCCATCTCGCGAGACCAGTGGACAGGGTGCGGATGCCCGCCAGTCTCGCTACAACAACGACCACAACAACAGTAAATGGTGCGGATACTGAGCTGTAGCACAAGCTCAACTTCTCTGAACGGAACAAGCAGTCATTTTGACTTCCATATATGAGATCTGACAAGTCTTGTTGGATCGACTAGATTGTGGACTATTCGATAATCACAAGATGATTCCGTTGATGACAAAATAGTTACCTTGAGAGGCCGAGAATCAATGCTACGCACAATACTTTTCATATTCTATGTTTGTGTTATGGTAAGATTTGTTCTTCCAGGTGATACACAGAATTCCATTTATTGTATGGAAGGTCAACCTTCTTGTCTCTCTTGGATGACAGGCTTGTCATCATTGGACATGCCCAAGCTGCAGATAAAGACGGTGATCAAGTTGATTGGATGGTTTATGGAGACTTGACGAACCCTCTCATGGTCGGAACAGAGCGGTAGTGCCTAGACAGCTATTTACTAATTATAATGTGATTTATAGGCATGAACATCGTTTTCGTCTTCGGGAAGCATGACATCAGGTTCGACATGAGTACCAGTAGTCATCATGTAATTAGATGAATTGGAGCCAGATGTTCAATTAGAAGCAGAAACTGCAGGTGCGATCAGCTTTATGAAAAGAAGAAAGAGAAAGAGAAAGAGCTACGCAATAAATGCGAGTATACGCAGAACCCCACCATTATCTTGTCACGAACCATCACAGGACTTGACTCATAGTCAGACTGAAAACCCTCAAACCAAATGCATACCTATCGACCACCAAGGAGAAACAAGACATTTTGAGAAGAAGGAGAAAAAGAGATATGCTCTCATCATAAGGTCATGACCACCGACTTCGTCATCGCTACGCCCAACCCCAACCCTTCCTTTCCTCCTCTTCCTTCCTAAGCACCGTCACCGCCGTCCTTCAACCTCGCAGATACTCTCGAAATAACCACTTCAAACATAGGCAAAAAGGAACCCCCACCCTCCCCTGCCTTCCCACTAGAGAAGATGCCCATGCTCTCGCAAAGCCGAGTAAAGTCATTCGCCTGATACATGGTAAGATCATGACTGTCCCCCGTCAGGTTCGACGCGCTGCTGCCAGCACCGGCACCAGCACCAGCAGCACCACTCGTTGCCGCACCGAACCATGCCCGCACAACTACCACCCGGATATGCTTGTTCCGCCCAGGGCCAGACGTTTGGATGTTCAGCCCTGTCCCAGTAAACAAGCTCCGGTTGCGAATCAGGTACAAGAGCACGTCGGAGCGCATCCGCTGGCGCGTGAGCGCTCCAAAGTTGATGGTGCGCTGCGTGGCGATGAGGTTCTTGTCCTGCTCTGGGGGTTCCGCCAGGGGCTTGTTGCCATCGTGGACGATCCTGACGAGCAGCCGGTAGTCAAACAGCTTCTTGGGGCTCTTCATCATCACGGGCGAGGACGGAGAGGGGGGACGGGAAGAGGAGGCTTCGGTTGCGGTGTCGGACCCAAGGGTCACTGTCGCGATGGACGAGGAAGAGAAGTAAGATGAAGCCTGCGAGACGACCGAGGGAGATCGGGCGGCCGGATGCTGCTGCTGGTTGTGGTGGGGAGGAGTCACCACGGGATGTGAGTCTGGCATAATACGGGCGTCAACGGCCGCTTTGACAACAGGAGATTCTTGCTGCTGCTGCTTCACAGAGTCCCTGTAGACGGCTGGTGATCCTGTCAACACAGACGCCCTGGAGCCGCCGCAGGCCGTGGAGGAGGTGGACTGTGGGAATGGTGGCTTCGAGGAGGGGAGCCTCGTAGCACTCGGCATGGACATGGGCATAGGCATTGGCATAGGCACGGAGAAGGGGAAGCCAGGCGGCGCGGTGGTGCGGCCGAGGCCATGAGTATTGCTGCTTTCCTGTTGCATGACATGCATAGGAGGAGGTCTCTGTTGTTGCTGCTGCTGCTGCTGCTGCTGCTGCCGCTGATATTGGTGGTAATAGCCTGCTGGTGGACCGTGAGTCCTGACAGTAGCAGCGCCCATATTGTTATCGATGTTGCCGTTCGCTAGCCAAAGGGAGGGGCCTCTCTGAGGGGCAGCAGCAGGAGGAGGTGGTGGTGGTGGTGGAGGAGGAGGAGGAGGCATCACGTGTGGTGGAGCAAAACGACCACCAGCCAACGGCGGCCCATAATGGTGTACAGCTCCTTCCATAACTCGGCCGCCTTGGTGAGCAGGATGATCATAGGATAGGCCAGGTACATAGCCCATAGCATTATGCGCCATCCCAGGCGGGCGTGAGCCACGCTGGTGGGCAGAAGCGTGCTGGACAGCAGGATGGTGAGGGTTCTGCTGCTGCTGCTGCTGCTGCTGCTGCTCCTGACGACCATAGGAGAAGGCCGGCTCGTCCTCTAGTACCGCGTCTTTTCTACGCGGCGAGAGTGGCCTTGCTCGCCTGCCCGAATGCTCCGTGTGACGTCGAGAACGAGTGGTACGCTGATCTTTACCATGGCGCATATTGTCATTGTCACCATCACTGCCATCATCATCAAGCTCGCTGGTAGACTCGTAGGTCGACTCGAGCTCCGTTTCGAGAGTGAGCCTCGAGTCCGCAAGGGGAGATTTGTCAATCTCACCAAGATAAGAAGATGTTGCAGTCGACGAGGCATCTTCATCTTCTTCTTCAACCTCGTGGGCGGCACGGCTGCGCCCGCCAAGGCCTCCGGATTTGATGTACTGGTGCACGCGCTTGGCAGACACAAGCAGAAGCTCCTCAAGGGCACCGATGACCGTCTCGGCGCTGTCCGAGGACATGAACTCCTCGCGACGGCCAGCCTGTGACCGCACAACAATAGCCTGGTACGTACCACCGGGCTCACAACTTATAATGCAATCGTTGAAGGCTGCTGCCGAGGACAAGAAATGACAGTTTCCTGGAGCAAGTGGCGGAAAGGAAGAAAAGTTCCGTCTTGTTAGAGACACGAGGATACGGCTTTTAAACAATTGAATGAGCACTTTCTTGCATGTCCCCCTCTCTCCCACCAATGCAAGTCTTTGGATGGGATCATGGGATATGGAAGAATGAATCTAGACTCACCAATGATCTGTTTCTGCAGTCCAGCTATGGCGGCATATCCAAGGCCTTCAGCCATGGCTGAGACTGGGTGCCCCGAATAATATGGCATTTCTCGTGACGGCGAGGAGGAGGAGGGTGTAGCTTGGACAGAGAACACAAGGTTTTGAGAGCGCAGCAGGGTCATGAGGGAGAGCCGGTAAGGGAGGAATCAATTTTTATTTTGAGGCTGTCTCTTGAGGAGAAAACATGGACAAAGAGGCACTGGATGTCGAGACGCAGTGAAGACACAAAAGAGGGCGAAAGATGCCACATGATATAGTTTTTTTTCCAACACTTTGTTCTACAGATGGCACAGTCGGAGGCCTGGCTGAGTACAGAGCGCACCGTGTGACCGCCAGACGGCAGCAGGATGAGGCTGGGGAGATGACAGGATGAGCAAGGCATGGCGGGAAAGTTCCCAGTCAATAAAAAGCAAACTCAGAAAGGTGGTGTTGCAATTGGAGGTTCAGAGGGTGTGATTTGGAGGGGGGGGGGGGGGCGCAACATCCAAGACAGCCTCGTCCGCCTCACAACAAGCACATGCCGTCGTCCCGTGTCTGTGTGTTTTAAGAAATAGGCCGCTCTTCCCGGTGGCGCACCGTGAAGATCTTAACACAAGACCTGTGGACCCATCGCTGAAAATTAATGCAGTGCACTGTCAGTAAAGCAATTATAAGCGGGTACAAAAGCAACAATTGGCGAGGAAAAGATCGTCACATATTGGCTGCTCTTGTTATTGACCGGTCGTTGGCCACCCTTACTGTCCTTCTTGGTAGCATTTCTTCTTGTCCTTCTCCTTCTTCTTCTTCTTCTTGTCCCCCACCTTACATGAAGGTAGACAGACCATCATTACACGAAGAGACACTGTCGCCCGATTGCTCCACAAGCTCTCCCCTACAACTCATGTGAGATACTGTCAGACAATGGTTGGTACGCTGATCCAAAGCCACTCACTCCACTCTCTCAGCAAAGCGTAACGTCGTGTACCACCGCACGCTCCTGAGGGGGTCGGAACGGTCGGCTTGTCAATCAAAACATGGGTATCCTGTATTGTTATAGAGTTACAATTCATGGCAAGCAGGCTATCGAGGAAAACCCTACCGCCTCCGGTGGTCCGAGAACAGACGGGAATCTTGAAGTTTGGCGGTGCGAGCCAAAACAAGGGCCTCGCAGGCCAATGCATGCACCGTGCATACATTTCTCGCAACAAAAAGAAGTCCTGGAAAGCGGGAAAAATTTCTTGCCTAGTCATGTCGTGTGCGGGATCATCTTGGCGACGACACCACCACAGGCAACGGCGGCGTTGCAACGGCTCGTATGCGTTGCTCCGTCACACACACACACACACACACACACACACACACACACACCTACACCTTGTGCTGCGCGGCGAACGAACTCTTGGGGAAGTTTGACAATCCCACTCCAACAACTCGTGATGCATCCCCGGAGAGACAGTGCGGCCTTCTTCTTTTGTGTGGCCCCCGATCGTGATCATGGGGCCAAAAGAGAAAGAAGGGGCGAAAGAGATACCCGAGACCGGTGAGAAGGTCTCTTTGCATTCTCTCAATAATGGAAAGGCTGTGAAAGTCCAACCATAATGTAGGGCTGCCAATCACAGTGGCGCACACCCCTCAGAAACAAGGCTCCTCCCACCCCGCGGGACGCTTCGGTTGATAGACCCTGGCCCTTGAGATCAGCCACTGGGCCGAGACCCTCGGGTCATTAGCCTTTTTGAAACTCATAAGGCTGCGCAACTTTTCTCGAAGAAAAAAAAAAACACAACAAAAATGTGACCATGAATCGCCATGGCGCAACAGTATCATTAGCAGATCTTCATATCATCCTCCCTCCCCTTTCCTAGCCTATGTCGATTGTCTCTCCTCGACTGCGCGGCTGCGAGGAATGAGCATCAACCGACAGCCAGACGCTCCAGTCTCCCTTGGAGGGCGTCGACAAGCTCATTCTCCCGGTCCAGTAAGTGCATGACTTGCGTCACCTTTGCCTTCCTTATCTCTGCAGGAATCTTGAGACTCGAGACAGACGCGCTGAGGCTCTTCTCGGAGCCCCCATCCCCCGAGACATCTTTGCCCTGTACCTCTGCCACCTGCTTGGTCAACTCCTCCTTGAGTCTCCTGATCTCATCGAGGCGTCTCGAGCTCGACTGAGACTGGCCCTTCCCTGCTTTCGCGTCCGTAGTGCCCTCCTCGCTTTCTGATACGCTCTGGTGGTACTTCTTCACCTCCTCCGCAAACGCCTTCTCCTTGTCGCTGAGAGGTCTGGTGCTGTTCTGCTGCACCTTCTTCTTCAGGTTCTCGAATCGTTGCACCAGCTCGTCCTGTTTCTTTCTTCGCTCTGCCAAGGCTCGGTCAAGACGGGCGTCATCTGACGGATTCTCCCCGTTCCCACCAGTGATGTGATCGACCCGAGTTTTCAGCTCGTTGGCCCTGGAGATTTGATCCTTCAATTCTGACCGTAGGACATCACATCTGCGGAACACCTCTGCAACGGCCTCGTTTAGTCGCCCGGTCTCTGTGCTCAAGATCTGATGCGCATTGGAAAAGATCTTCAGAGTCATGGGCGAAAGGCGAACTTCTTGTCCCATGAGAGCCCTCTGCGGGCCCGTCAGGATCGCCTGGCGCAGCTTTGGTAGGTCAGAGGGCTGATCGAAGATCGTCGGAGGCTGGAAGGCCGGGCGAGGCGTATAATAGAGCTCCAGGGCAGCTCTCTCATCTGGGGTCGGTTCAGGGAAAGGCGTCGGAGAAGTAGACGTCTTGATAGGCGGGAAATCATCCTCAGGTGTATCGAAGACCAAGGCAATTGGGTCCGTTGGTGTAGCGGAGAGGAGAAAGTAACCGAGGTCCGGGTCGCGAATCGCCACCGAAGCAGCCAAAGCATACTCGGAAGCAGGCTCGGCATAGATCCTGTCGACTTCTGAATTCGCTTGTGCAATGAGATTGACCCTCAATTCCGATCCCGCTGGCGCCTCGGCCTCGAGCTCGCTCTCCAGCCGGTAAACCCAAGGAGCCAGAGACACCTGCGTAATGCCGGAATTGTGCGTAATAAAGAAAGAGTACCGTGACAAGGCGTCATCACTGAAGGTAGGCCAACAGTCCTCTGTCACCTCCGAAGGCGGCACAGTATCGAGGGTCTCAAACGTGAGCAGAGAGGGCAAGTCGATGGCATTGGACAGCGTGGCCGCCTTGCCCTTGAGCCTAGGTGGCAGCCACCTCGCTTCCACGCCTTCCATGTCCAGACATATCCTCACCTGGCCGCTCGTAGATAACAGACAGATGACGGTCAGTGACAGCCCCTGCTGTTCCTCGTCGTCAAGTTCCAGAACCTCGTCCTCCTCGCCCATCAGCTCATCGGTCTCCATCTTCCTGCCTATCACATAGATGTCCGAGACTTCGATGTCCAGTTCGTCTTGCTCGTCCTCCTCGGGGGCTGACTCGAGATCGAACGGCCCTTGTAGTCTCGGGATCAGGCCTGGATGAGTAGGTCGCTGGTACACCTCAATTGGCTGGTCGGCAAGGGTCTCCTGGATAATTCTCGGCTCCTGGCTGTCGAGATCTGACATCCACTCGAGTTGCTGCTGCGCAAGGAGCCTGTCCTGTGGAGAGAAATTCGGGTCGTCCTCGATCGCTGCGACCTTGGCCACAATGGAGACAGACAGGGAAGGGATGAGAGTCGGCGGGGGTGCCCACAGCTGGGGAAGCAGCGGACAAAGCGCGTAGACATCGCCTCCCCTCATGGCAATGTATAAAGTCATAGATGACCACAGCCCAGAGCCTCGGACGGCAAACGAGGCCGCAGCAACCTCCATGTCGAATGTGTCGGCCGAAAACCCTCGGTTCGTGGTTGTAGATACGGAGAAATCTTGGTCCACCGCTGTACCATCTGCCAACTTTTTCAAGTCGATGGCCAGTGTGGGCGCATCGAATGACCACCTGTCTGACGTTGATATTTCCCACAGTCTCACCACAGCGTCCTCCGTGACCGTGACCAGTGACGTGCCTTGGACGCCTAAGGGATGCCAGACCGCTGACATAACTGCGGATTTCATAGTGATGTGTGTGGTCGGTCCGAGAGTAAAGAAGCGTGGCTTCAAGGGCTCCGAGTCTGTGAGCAGAGAGGATTTGGGAAGGGCGCAGATGTGAACAGTGTGTGTCGTGAGGATGGCGAGGTATTCGGAGTTGGGCGACATCACGAGCTGCCGTATCTCGTCGGCGACAGGCGTCTTGATGATCTGTGATGGTGATTAGTACTACGAGAACCTAAGTACGCAGCGCAGCGCACCATGGCGTTGCTAGGACGCCATCGACTCACCCGATAGCCATCAGCACTCTGCCCATCGCTGCCCTCCACGCTGGCCTGGACCTGATCGTAAACTGAGAAGTTGCCGTTCGAATCCTCCCTCTTGATCCGCGTGCTGGCCGGCTTTTCTGCCCAAGACTCTTTCAGATAGACCAAATCCCCCCATCGTATCTCTCGGTTGACGGCAACGAAGACCTCTGTTCCTCGTCGAGCGATTGTGCGGCGGGGACCTGGCCTCATCTTCCTCCTCGAGGAGGCTGACGCATTGATGTCTTCCTGGGATGCCTGGAAGAGGTTATGGCCAGGCGCTGGCCTGCTAAGCCAGGAGGGTGTGTAGGACCTGATCTTGGACATTTTACGCGACGACGACGACAACGGAGTGCACTGCTCTTGGGTGATAGCAATGTCAGCGATGCAGGGAGGACCTGAGTTCTTGCGCCTGTAATGCCACCAGGCGGACCGTGGTCGTGGTCGAAAGCAGACAGGTCCTTCTGTTGGCGATCCAAGCAGAGGTTATGAGGTTGGGGGAATACAAAGCAAGTGAACAACAAGCTGGGACATAAAATGCAAGAAAAGTAAGGCGGCAATGGAAAGTTGAGCTGAGTTGCAAGGAGGCAGCTCTGTCACTTTAGCGCGTTTTGCAGGTCCCATCGCGCCGCTCAGCAGTTGAACAGACCCACTTTTGAACCGCTGCTGCAGCAGCTCTCAGGCTCTCAAGTAGCTGTTTGACACAACGGCTCTCACTCTCCTCTCTCACTGCCATCATCACCCACAACAGCAAGATGGCGACTTCACTACGAAGCACAGTAGATCGCCTCGACCGGCCAAGCGCCTACTACAACAGCAGAGTATGACCCCTCCCCCGTCTTCACCCCAAGCAATGCGCCTCTCAACTAACCTTTCTCCCCCTCCAGTTCAACAAGCGCCGCCGCAACGATCGCGACCACCAGAACGACGAGCCCGCCGCCGAGCCAGAGCAGCCGCCCGAGGACCCCCTGGCGAACGCGACTACGCTGTACGTCGGAAACCTCTCGTTCTTCACGACAGAGGAGCAGGTCTACGAGCTGTTCAGCAAGTGCGGCGAGATCAAGCGGTTGATCATGGGGCTGGACCGGTTCAACAAGACGCCCTGCGGGTTCTGCTTCGTCGAGTACTTTACGCACCAAGACGCGCTCGACTGCTTGAAGTACATTGGTGGCACGAAGCTGGACGAGCGCATCATCCGCACGGACCTGGACCCAGGCTTCGAGGAGGGACGTCAGTATGGCCGGGGCAAGTCGGGAGGACAAGTCAGGGACGAGTACCGAGAAGATTTTGATGAAGGCCGAGGTGGATTGGGGAGGGCAATTCAAGAAGACCGCAGGTAGGTAACCTCAGGCGCGTGCCTCGAGCACTGCTTGTCGAGACACTGGAACCCTCGCCATATATTACCTATGGAGAGAGCACGGTCCTGGGCGCTTCTAGAAACTCAAGAAGGCCCTCCCTTTTTAGACAAGTACTGACTCCTTCGTGTCATAGGGGAAGATACAGGGACGACTACGACGAGACTCGAGGGAGATGAGACGATGCGACCTTCGTTTTCTTGGCCTTTCTGGCGTTTGGTGGTCTAGGGAGAAGTGGTCTTGATGTCTTTACATTTTCGTGGAAGAATAATCCACGGGTAAAAAACGTGCTCAGCTCTGGAAACAGGAGTGGCAAGGCGGTCCTTTGGTATTTCTATGGAATACCTCAAAGCCACAGCTCCGAGCATAGGGGTCCCTATAGGTGTTGGCGTTTCGGTCCGAAAAATTGATTTCGTTCTCATTGCTATTTGGACACTCTGCCCATGGTATATCCGAGCGTCCCTTCATCCCTGTATAATCTTACATCCGTTGTGAGCCCGTCATTTGCCAAGAAGGAAGACGGCCTCGACATCCAGTGTCTCCCCTGCCGGAGACTGCACCTTCGCATCCACGCCATTCGAAGCTGAAGGAATGCCACATGGCAGCACTGGTTCCCGTATAGATGTTGCTTCCCTCTCGACTGTTGGATGCATGAAGCTCACTAGCTGTGCCGTTGCTTTTGCATACGGCCTTCGACGAGTCAAGTATATGTTGCGTGCGTATGATGAGACCACGGCGCAGATTCTCGAGTCGTGTCGTTTGAAAAGTCGTCCAGCTCGTCTAGTAACCAGGCGGGTTCAGTCTCTGCGAGACCCTCGTCCATTTGGGCAGTTCTGCAGATGAACAGGATCAGCCAAAACCAAGCACCCTCCTCAAGCACCAAACAGACGCCAGGAATAACGTACTATGTATTCCCTTCCGGTACCTCTTCTCCTTCCGGTCAAAGATGGTATACTTGTCCTTGGGCCGCATCTCCTCCTCCGTAGGCATCTCGGCCTTCCACCTCTCGACAGAAGGCAGCGTCTTCCCCTGCTTCGCCAGCGCCCTGTCGAGCGTCGCGACCACCCCGTCGACGTGCCGGAGCCGCAGCCTGTGCCGGCGCTTCTGGAACTTGGAGAGGCGCCAGGGGATTTTCCAGAGAAGCCCGCCGCTTAGCGGGTTCGTGAATCTGAACGGCCCAAACATGATGCGTGTGTGTGTGGGCGCTGCTTGGGGGGGGGGGGAACGTTGGGATGGTGGTAGTGATCGATTTGGGCTTGGCTTTCAGAAGACCTCAATTCGAAAAGTCGACTTGACTTGCATGCGGGACCGGGGGTGAGCTAACCGCACCCGCAGCCGCTGCGGCCAATCAATACTTTTCTTTGTACTTAGCGTTTCTCCCTTGGGGAGGGTCCTGAGGAGCACGGTCCACCCAGACCCCCAAACCGCAGCATCACCCAAAACACATCCATCCCTCTCGCTCAAATTCCCAATTCCTAATCCTCTCTCCCATCTTGTCGCCAAGTAAAACTCGAAGAGACAGGACAAGACAAGGGAGGGAACAGAGAGAGGAGAACACACACATACACAAATGATCGATCGATAACCCGAACAATGTCATACTATTTCGCCATCATCGGCACCCAAGACAACCCGCTGTTCGAGCACGAGTTCGGCACGTCCAAGCAGGGCGGCGACGGCCTGTCGCGCTTCAGCGACCAGGCGCGGCACCTGAACCAGTTCATCCTGCACAGCACGCTGGACGTCGTGGAGGAGGTTCAGTGGAACAATGGGCAGATGTATGTTTGCTTTCCCCGTCTGTCCCTGCTGGCAACAACTTTTCCCCACTGCGTCGGTCATCTGCATAATGTAATCTGCATATGAACTTACAATGTCCTGTGTCTTTTCTCCCTCTTTCCCCTCCCGACCTAGGTACCTCAAGGTAGTAGACAAGTTCTTCAACAACTACACCTCCTGCTTCATAACCGGCGCCAACGTCAAGTTCCTCCTCCTCCACCAGCCCACCGGCTCAGGCACGGGCTCCGGCGTCCGCTCGTCCACCTCCATCGCCGCCAACCCCACCAGCGCCGCCACCGAGGAGGCCATCAAGAACTTCTTCACCGAGGTCTACGAGAACTGGGTCAAGGCCGTCATGAGCCCCTTCTACAAGGTCAATATGGAGGTCAAGAGTCCTATCTTTAGGCAGAGGGTCGTGGCCGCGGGCAAGAAGTATCTATAGACAAGACACATGTCGTTGGGCTAGAAATAGAGGGGGCAAGACAAGACAAAGTCGCAAGGGGCCCTCTCCGGCCTTGCGTGGTCAGGCCACTGGTGGGCGCCTGAGGATCATTATCATCAGTTGCAGCATCAGCAGATGAGAGGTGGGTTGGGCGGCATTATCTGTACGGCAAGCGTTACGCGATGTAGCGCACTTTCATTGTGATATCCCAAAAGGCCGGTGATCGCACGGGCACCAAGCAAATTACAAGTCATCAGGCAAAAAGGGTCAGAAGCGAGAATTTTTATGTTCATCAAGTATATTTCGCAGCGCAATTGTCTGTCAATCAATGGCCATCATGCCTACCCGAGCCTTGTCATTCCGAGTAATCCGTGAATCCCCAACGCCGAAAACAAATGTAATCTGCCACGCGGGTGCTGCATGAGCTGCACCATTGTACACCAAAACCATCCCCAATAGTCCCCGGTCTCTCTAGATGGATCGCTTGCCTCATGTAAAGAGACAATCAACTTCCGAGCAGCCTTTCCCGAACGTAATCAGGCAAGTGTGGTAGACGGACAAGACGCTTAACCACCGAAACCGTAGAGGGTACGGCCCTGGCGCTTGAGGGCGTAGACGACGTCAAGGGAGGTGACGGTCTTGCGCTTGGCGTGCTCAGTGTAGGTGACAGCATCACGAATGACACCCTCAAGGAAGGACTTGAGAACGGAGCGGGTCTCCTCGTAGATCACTGAAGGGGTAGGTTAGTATGCGTTACCATGCAGATGAGACGCGTCTTTATGACGACGATCATGTTCGCGAGTTTCAACTTACTGGCAGAGATACGCTTGACACCACCACGACGAGCGAGACGTCGAATGGCAGGCTTGGTGATACCCTGGATGTTGTCACGAAGAATCTTGCGGTGACGCTTGGCACCACCCTTGCCGAGACCCTTGCCACCCTTGCCGCCTAAAAAGAATACATGTTAGTATGGACGAAGATGATGATGACGACGATGACGATGTGGCGGAGGAGATCGTAATCAGATAATGGATGGAGTATTGCAGATGACGAGACTTGTGAAGAGGACTCTACGCGACTGCATGTCATGGTGCAGGACGCGTCGTGACCCTTGTGTGTTGGTGAGCAGTGTGCCCCACCACCAACACCACCACCACACCAAGCGGTCGGTGATGGTGACGATGCAGCGACACCGACATGCATTTCGACGCGTTTGACAACGGCGCCGATAGAAAAAACATAATGTACTTACGTCCAGTCATTTTGAAGGAGTTTAGAAGTGTTAGGAATGTGGTTTGATGGATGAAAGTAGTTGTCGCGGTGGACAAATTGATGATTTTTTGATGGGTTAGTTGTAATGGTTGATGGGGTGGGAATTCACAAAAGGCACGGAACAGAGAGAAAGGTAAGAGAGTTATTGGGGTGCGAGTATTTAAGAGACAAGAACGGGGGCAGCGGGCGGAGGCTGCTGATCTGGGAGAGGGCAGCCTGTGAAGTTGCGCTAGTCTATTTTGGTTGCTCCTTTTCCAACTCTCAAAATTCAAAAGGCGATTTCCTCACCTAAAGCTTTTGAGCAAACCGCTTTTCCAAGCAGTGCATTACAGGGGTCAGAAAGGCGTCTTAGTTGTCTTGTCTGTTTTCCTGCTATTTCGGGTGGCCCGTGCACCCCTGCCGTTGACCCTGCAGAAGCTCCAAGCTAACCATAATCGAAATCGGGAGCGGGTAGGGATGGGCAGGCGCCAATCGGTCAGCTGCCCCTGCTTGTTATGCCGGGGCTCAGTCCAGTCCCGTCCAATCCACCTTGCTCTGGTTTGTCTGCGTAGGTACGTACTGGTGTGCTTCGAGAATCAATCTTGTGGGCCATGGGCTCGAACCCAGACGCGTCGAACCTCGGGGGCTGCCATCCTTCAAATAATTCGCGTCTTCTTCGAGATCAGTCAGGCGGAAGCGTTCCCTCGCAATCCCCAGTGATTTTGGGTGCCCGACGTATTTGGCTGAGCCTGGTTACTGGCACTGCCAAAGCCCTTTCAAAACACTTGCACCACAGTAATTATCGTGACTTTCCTTTTGGCAATTGCGCGTTCCTTCAGTTGCAATTCGTCAACAACACCATCCTCAGCATTACGAAGAATGTCTCTATCCATTTCATTGGTAGAATCATCCAAGCCTTTTCTTTCTCTCTCTGGCTTAGAACGATATCTGTGCGTCCAGACACGCCAATACTACACCTTCAGGATATTGAACCTCATAATAAGTGGCTTCCTTCCTCACAGCGTTGTGGTGGCCAGTGTGGTGGTCCGCGGGCCACGGAGTGAAGTAGGTCCTGGGTCCTCATACAACTACATCACATACATCGGCAGCATCTCTCCACCCTACGCAAGCACGAGGTTATAAGAAGATATGCCTGGTGAGTTCAGCGAGGCACGTATACCTCTAAAAGGTGAATTCTATTCAGGCTGTTGACCAGTCTAATGATTAAATCTAGATACACAGCTGGCATAATGAACAGTGCATGCACAAGAGGTTGTGCACGCCTGTAACGGTTCTGTCCACCCCTAGTGTATGCTGTTGTTGTCTTCTTGCTCCCTCCCGTGACGCCCAAGCCCAGCGGACCAATGACCATGGTACCTTGGCCGTTACGGGCGCCTTTATGATGCTCAGGTTTTTAAGCCTCCGAATGCTGGAGTTTTCTGTCTCTATGCCGTAGCTTCCGAACCCTTTTAGATCTATACAAAGATGATGATCATGGCACGATATTGTCGGCCGGCAATGCAATCCCATTAGGGAATAGTGGAGCAGGCTTTCTGTGGTATCAGTACGATGTCTTTCCCTGCGCTAGTATAATCAGCGCAGTCAAGAACGGTGTGTCCCTGGGGCAACGAGGATGAAGAGTCAAGCCTTTCAGCCAGCGTTGACTGTGGTTGTCTGCTGTCGTTTCGCAGAGTCTTTGACGTCCTACTGAGAGGTTAGTCAGGGAGACGGGCTGTGTCTGCCACCGTACCATTCATCTTTCCCCTCCAAGGCCCCTTTCATGGGGCATCTTTCGGTGACGACGACTTCTTTGTATCGCGACATACTTCGGTGGGCGCTTTCCGCTTCTTCGCTCCGTTGGTGCCATCTGCTGCCTTTCTCTTCAAAGGTCTTGTGGGTTTCACCTCGCCGGTCTCGAAAACGTCATCGGGAAGACTCCAGCTGTATAAGGCAGTCAGCACGCGCAAGATTATAAACATGACAAGCTACTAGACATACTTTCGCACGTGCTGGACGCTGACGGCACATGAATCCTGCAGCTCCTTCTCATACTTCTCCCAGGCAAAACAGATACTCTTAAACTCGTTGACTTCGTAGGATAGGTCGAGGGATTTCGCGCCTGCATTGTCAATCGTCCTGGCGTTAAGACTGATACACGTCTCGAGAAATCACGAGGGGTTGCTAAGGGAAGGGGGGGAAGGGGTTTTGGAGCGTTGCTCCTGGGTCCTACTGACCTTCCCGCAGCTCGAGGCCAATATAGTGAGTGGATGTAAAAACCCCCTTGGGGGCATCCTCGTCTTCGTCCATCTTGACGTCGGTATCTTTGGCATCGAGCTCTTTGGTGTCATCACCGTCAGCGCCTTCTGTCTTCACCTGTGCTGGTGAGGTCGGCTCTGCCTTCATTGTGCCGTTGGCTGGCTCTGTCTTGACTGCGTCAGCTTCCTCTTCGCCCTTTACAACATGGTCTAGACTCCCATCGAGGATCTTGTTCCACTCATCAAGCGCGCGTGTGCACTTGTGCTTCCGTTCGTAGCCCTTGTTGAACGGCCGGGCCAGCTGGATGGACGGGTGTCGTTCGAGGCTCTGTACCAGGAGACGGATCTTGGACTCCACGAAGCCGCCCCATATCTTGCTGTTTTCTTTAGTCGTGCTCGCAGCATTGACTATGATGTAGTATTTGTAATCCTGCGTGAAGAAGGAGTGCTTGACGAAGAGAGTTTTCCACGGCTGCTTGCCTAACATTATCTGATCCACTACACCCGCGAAATGGTCCAACTCCTTCTGGATGACTGACTTGCTGGAGTGAGTAATGTTGAAGGTCGCGCACATGGAGGGATAGGCGGGAGTGATGATGGGCATCAGATGATAACCGTCGCCCTTGTAGATCTTGGGATTCCACACCCGAACCTGTAGGGGACCCTCCTCCACCTGCTTCAGCAGGACTGGCTGCGGCCAGGGCCAGCGCCGTATGATGTGGAAGAACTTGTTGACAATCACCGCGCCGTTGGCCTTGGGGTACAGCTGACAGACGCGCGCCACCAGCATCGCCCAAGCCACACCTCCTGGGAAGCCCATGATGTTGGCGTAGATGGCCCGCTTCTGGGCCCACAGCTTGATCGCCCGCAGCGCCAGACGGAACGATGTCGGCTCGGGAACCAGCTTCAGTATGTCGTCTGTGACTCTCGTACCGTTCAAGGACCGAAGCTCGGCATCGTCGAGGCCGCGCAGCAGGTTGTTGTCGAGCAGGTCCCAGCCGCTGGACTGGGGAGGGATCTCGGTCAGGGTGGCGATGCGTGAAAAGATCAGATCTATACTGATGCCAGAGTACTCGAACTTGATGATGGGGACGAAGGCATCGGTGACGGCGGTCAGGTCGGTGATGGCGCCCGGGGGCGTCATCTCGTTGAGCAGGCCGGGGAACAGTTCGAAGAAGTGCTCTCGTGTAACGTATTTCGGGCCGACGACGAGGGTATCGATGTCGGAGCCTGGGCCGAAGACACCCAGTCGGTAGCTGCCGTAAGTGAAGATGCGGCCGCGCGCTGACTTCTGGATGGCCGGGTTCTCTGAGAACTTCGTCTCGGCGACCTTCCTGATGAAGACGTCGGCGATACTCTGGAGGGATTTGAGGACATTCTCCCTACGTGACACCAAAGCGGTCAGCCTCCAGTGTATCGTTCAAATGATAGCGATGCTCTAATCATCGTAATGCCCAACAAGATGTTGCTGTTGTGAGGCCTGTCATACCTCTTCTGGGTCTCTGTCGCGTGCTCATAGGTGTTCTGGGCCTTGAGTTCCGTGAACAAAGAGTCGTTGGAGCGTTTCTCGGACTCGTTAGGCATGGCCAGCGATATGGGAGGTGTCACACCCCATTGCATATCGGCAGCCATGGTAGCGCTCGAGAAACCAGAGGTTGGTTTGGTACAAGACGGTATGACGAGCCGTCTTGAAGAAGATGACGATGTGAAGGGGAAATAAGAGAAACAGAAAGAGAGAGAAAGCGTCCTTGAAACCAACAAGGTGCTCAGCTTCCGATTTGGGGCAGCAGCGTGGGTGGGTGCACTTCTACTATGGAGGAAGTGGGGAGAAATTTGATACTAAAAAAGCAACGTCAGGGAGCAGGGGTAACAGGGGCAGACCCACTATTTTTCATAGGCACGATAAAGGAACATAGTTTCTTTTCTGAGTAGGTTTAATAGTTTCTTCGGGTTTGAATTTGTCCAGTGCAAATCTCCAATCATTTGAAGCTGGGATGTCTCATCTACAGGAAAAGGGGATTTGAAATGGCGCCTCCAAAAGAAAGTGAGACAACTTCGATCAGCTATCGTCACATTAACAAAAAAAAACAACAAAAAAAAAGCTTTCTCTCTCCCCCTTGTTTCCAACAAGAGCGCCACACAAGCCTAGGCAGGTGGTCAGTGAGTAACACATGGGCCCTTCAGCTGCCTTTGATCATCTCTCACTACTCTTGTCAGACCAGGACTCAACGATCCATTCGAGAGCTTGGATGTGCCAGCCATGAGTCTTGGAGACCCAGAAAACAACACCTCCCAAGATGCTCACACCTCCAAGCACCTCAAGTGCGATCCAACCATTGTTCTTCAGCCTTGAGGCAACTTCAAGCAATCCAAGCGGATCCTGGTGATGCATGGTTACTGAATCTGGTCTCCGTTCCCGAGACAGCCTCTTTGCACGCAGTCTTGACGAGCTCCGATCCTGGTGCTTGACCGCCACGAGTGTCCCGTCCTGGACGCATTCGTTCAGCCTTTCTGTCAGCCAGATGGCCCTCTCCCCCTGCGCAAGAGCTTCATAACGAGCCTTCTCGTTCGCTAGGCTCCTTTGCAGATCCGATGCCCAGTTGGCAAGGCGAATCTGCGCCATCCGCTCTTCACGTTGCGTGTGATCGGCTATGCGCGCAAGCGAGTAGGTCCGCGGTGCTCCAGCCGCGACCAGGGAGGCTGATGGTAGGCCAGTAGGCACGCTCAATGGCCTGTACAGAGCTCGAGGTCGAGATGGATTTTCTGAATTCTTCCACTGCAAGAATTTCTTCGCAGCAGCGTGCCTTAGCCAGGAGGCTCCGCTCTCGCTGAATATCTGCTCCACCAGGTTGGTGAGGTCTGAGGGTTTCAGAGGTTGTACGTAGTCTGGACTCATCAGGAGGCTGGCATCCATGATGTCGTGATCTGATCCAGGCAAGCTGGAGATGGCATAAGGCGACGCTGACTCCACGTTTCCGCCAGAGGCAGAAGTGGCGAACGAAAATGGCCGCACATTCGCCTCTTGTAACTCCCTCCTGATGCGCTCTTTGCTCTGACTGACAGCCTCGGGGGTCATGGTGTCTGATTGGGCCAAGAGCGGTATCACGTTGGTGAGCGGTGCTAATAATTGCAGATATTTGAGATCCGCAGGTTTCAGGTCTAGATAGCTGTCAGCTTGGCCACTCAAAAAGATCTTGCGGCATCTTACTGTTCTGTATGAGGTACAGGGCGACATCGACTTGGTTCCCTCCATCACCGCCCAGCATATTCAGCATCTCAGAGTCAGCCGACGCGTTGGACTGCACCTTTTCAAAGTGCGACTCGATATAACGAATTACAGGAGTAATGGACTCCATACTCTGCTTGCAATCAGCACGTCGATGCCCTGCCTGGCTCCAGAAGCAGCTCTTTCGACTCACAGATGAACCGTCACTATAACCCGGGGTATCAATAAAGCAAACATTCCTGTCTAAGATGGTATCGCCGCCCAAGCTCTTTTTACGTTTCAGAAGCCGAGAATCATCCAAATCAGACCACCACTCAGGGTATGGTTTAGTACTCGCAGATATCTCAGAGATTTGCGTCGTCTCATTGCTAGTCTTGGTTGACCTGGATCTCCCTTTAGGTCGAGGGCTGGAACTCGATCTGTGGCCAAGGATGGCTGGCTGCGGAGTGATTGGATCGACGTGGACGATCGCGTCCGAGGTCTGGACTATAGCCTTGATGAGAGCCGTCTTGCCGGTTCCTTGTGTACAAATAATCATTAGGCTTCGAGTGTGTGTGTATATTGATAGGTCAACTCGTAATCTTGCTTACCAGAGTCACCAGCAATGAGGATCTTGAGCCTCCCAATGCGCTTGCCCTCGTCTGTGAACGGCCGTCGAGAAGGCATTTTGATGGAGGGCATGACAAGCTGAGAAGCACTACTGCTGTCCATCATGGACGACGACGACAATTCAGGCTGTAGCTCGGCACTCATGCTCAGAGCCTGACTGGCTACTTCTTCGGAGAGGGACGCCGCAATGGAGTTCCTTCGCGAGGAAGCCCCGCTTATGGCCGAGGCAGCCCCGGACAATGACAGCATCAGGGGCGTAATGGGTCTCGAGGTCTCGGTGCTCGCTGAGGCAAGGGCAGGTTGCTGCAGAGGGACTGGCCGATCGGGGGAGAGAGAAGCGTCCTCGGGATGGTCATCGCTGTCGGGAAGGGAGGACGTAGCGGAAACATTGGCATCACGATCCTGTGTAGCGGTGTGCTGCTTGGATGGACTGCTCGGACCTGATTCTGTAGGACTATTCACGCCCTGCTGCTGCTTCTTCCGTGGATCACGAGGAGTGACGAAGCTCGACAGAGACTGTTCTAGAGCGGCATCGACGGCGTCCTCGTCGCCGATGAAGAAGGCGGTTGGGCACCCATTATCGCTGGGACGGGGACGCTGCGACGGCGTGTCGCCGAATATAGGTCGCATGATGGAGAGAACGCATGTAAGTCTAGGGGACGCACACTCTCAAAGCGGTAGCGAGTGAGGAGAGGGGTCACGATAGGGATCGGCGAGGGATTATCATCGGAGACAATGTCGGGTGGTAAGGAAGATACTTGTTGTAGTTGTGAGGACGACGAGACAAGAAGCTGCCTCTCTCTTAAGGAGGATTTACGGAGATGACTAGACGTTGGAGTGAAGCGTGAGTTAGTTAGACTCGGCCAGACGAGACTAGGCACACAGAGAAGAGAGCACAGTCCATCAAAAGGTGCACAGTGGCAAGATAGGGAGTCACTCTGTGATGACAACGTGCGGGATCTCGTAGCACTACGTATCATGCCGCGCCCCTCAAGTGATACTCCAAAGGGGGGGAAGGGGCCAGTGACAGGCACTTAAAGCAGCGAACCCCGCGCTGGCCCCGCCGGCGCAACTCCACAGCCCCTCTCCTCTGCCGGCAGGGTTCAAATTCCAGCGCTAACTGCTGTGGGATCATCTTCATCTTGAGTGTCATACTATGCTATGCTAGGCTCAAGCCAATGCTCTCGACCTTGTTACGACATGTGTTCTGGACGGAACCCGAATGTGGAACCTGATGCTCACAATATCTTGCCTTCCTCTGAATAGACCTTGATGTTTCGTAATTTAACTCTTTCCTCTCTTTTTTTTTTTTGTTCTTCTTTTTCTTTGAAAGGCAATTATGCGAAGAACGAATCTGTTCGATCCACAAAATAATGAAAGAGAATGAGACACCTAGCCCGTCTTCCAAGCCTGAACGACATAAGCACAAAGTAGCACTCGGCAAGGTTCGTCTGAACAAACACGCGGCGCTGTCCAGACAGTGATTGCGCCGTTCTCAAAAGCTCCCGGTTACTTACACGCCATCTATTTTCCTTTCTTTCTTGGAGTCATCGCGAGTCTCAACGCAGCTAGTCAACCAGGCACACAATCCCACCTCTGTAGAACACAGTTTCGAACAATAATGCTGTCGCTGCAATGGTGAACAAGAAGGATAAGCAAGTGTCCGTTGATTGTAGAATAGAGTGGCATTGGGTACTGACTCGTCAGATGAGCTTCTCTGTAATGCCCCGACGTCTGTTAGCCTTTACTATGGAAGAAGGCACTTTCCCTGCAAGATTCACTCCCAACGCCCGGATTTCTGGCCCGGCGCCTGCACCTCGTCCGCCTGTCCTGTATCCCACGAGCTATTTCCAACTTCATTGAGCCCCATCCAGCTGTCGTCATTCAGCATGGCTTCCGTCACCTGTGCATACAGCGCTGACGGATCTTGCGGCCCGCCGTCCACAGCCGCGTCCCACGCGTTCAGTCCCTGAAACATGTTCATATCGATGCCATGGTTCACCTGGCCTTCTCCTGCCCCGGTCCCCTCAAAGATCTCTGTGTTCACAACCGCGTGATCCGTTAGCATGATCCCGCCATCCATCGAGCTGCTCGTCCTCCCCACCGTCGGCCCGGACGTCGTCGTCTCCGGGCTGATGCCTGAGCTCGCTGGTGTGGAGTGGCTTTTGTTTGTCGGACCAGCGGGCGACGAGCCGGTCGTCGATGAGCCTGTGCGGTGGGGCAGTCTGAACGAGGTCACATGCAAACCAGCCTGTGCGGCAGCAACCTCGTTGTCGCACCACGAGGCTGACGAGAGAGACGAGTTCCTCGGTGTGTTGCTGTTAGACGTGGAGGAGACCTCGTCTACTGATGAGGATGATGCTAATTGGGAGATGCGGAACATGTCGTCGTTTGGCCCGGGCGGGTCTGGAGACGCGTTCACCCGCCTGCGCTTGTTGGAGTTCCCAGACACTGGGGCATTGTGGATCTTGTTAAAAGACTGCGTGTCCATATTCCGAACCGCGGTTGCGTCAGTCGGCTTCCTCACTAGACCGTCAGCGCGCTGTCTCCTGCCGATCGGCTTGCTCAGAGGTAGCCTTCCGGGCAAAGGTGGCAAGATGTCGGTCTTCCTCGAGGCTTGGGACCGTGCAAACAGGGGAATATTATTGCCACACGGCGCAACCGAGACGGTTTCACCTGTATATTTGTTGCGGTCTGGGATGCGGAGGAGATGGATTAGGTTCGCGCGTTCGAGATCCACCATGAGTTGCCGAAGGAAGTTGAGGGTGATGAGGTGTTGTTTGCCGATGGCGTCCATGGCCATGACGAGGAATTCGAGGTCTGCCTTGATCTTTGGTGAGAAGCCTTCCTCCCCCTGGGTCTGTATGATACAGACAGAGCTAGCAACATAGAGTGCGAGCGCGACAAGAGGACTCCTCTACAGATCCGAAAAGAAAAGGCATAAGCTTAACGTACAGTCGAAAAAAGAGGGATAACTAGGAGAGGCAACTTACGTAGCCGGCGTTTGAATGAGAGGTCATCTTGACAATGTGTACCACCTCTTGGGCGGCGGTCACAAGACGGGTCTTGATCGTCATCTTGATGACATCAGGCAAGTTGTGTTCTTTTGCCTTCTCATAGGCACTGTTGTGAAGACAAATCACCGAAGCATGCAGATTGAGATTCGTGTGAACCGCGATTGGATCCCTCAAGTGTGCCGGCAGACGGAATCCTTCTGGTAAAAACATAAAGGTGCTGGACAGCAGGTTGTCCAGCTCTCGATGCTTATTCCAGTAATTGCCATATTCGTAATCGTCTGCGGCATCGTCCTGCCTCGAATGGTGGACATGTTTCATGATTAAGTTGAATAAATGGCATATTACGGCGGCACCGGCGAAGGCTGAGTAGGGCGAGCCCGAAAAGACATCCAGTAGCCCGCAAGTGGTCTCCTCATGACCGTTGTTGAATGCTTCTTCGGAACTAGGAAGATGCGTGGTGACCTGTGGGCATGGTTAGCCTGCCTTGTTTTTCTCCAAGCAAGTCCGTTTGGCCCACACAGGCTACGGGGTGGTGGTCTCACTCACCTCCTCTGGGTCGATCAACGTCGGCCAGCCTGTGCTGATGGATGCATGAGAATCGATTGCAAATGCACCCCAGAAGGTTCGTCTCCTCTCTAACACCACGGAAAACCCGTGTCAGCCAAGCAAGCCACCCAGCAGCTGTCGTGAGATATGCGCCGCGGTCACCATCACCGCCACCGCCCACTCACCTTCCAGCTCGGTCCAGTCTTTCGGAGGTGCAAGTGTGGGCGACATTCTGTGCACAGCGTCGGGGTCGTCAAGTTTGTGTAGGCCCAACATGTGCAAGAGCTTAATACAGCGAGCTGCGGACATGGCAGCCCGAGTGAACCACATGCACCTGGCCTCGTTGGTGGATATGAGAGCCCAAGCCTGGGCATGAGCAACGGTGAGGAAGTGCTCGCCGTCTCCCTGTGGGCGATAATCAATCAGTTAATGAAAGGTTTCCACAGCAGCTGGCGAAACCTTTGTGCGAGGTCCCACATACTCTAAGTTCGTCTTCTTCGAGATAATGGCGAGCACGACGGTGAAAAGCGTCATGATAGCCCGAGTACTTCTCATGGCTGTTTGTGGCCATGGTCCAGATGGCATATTGCAAGGCCATGGGTGGTCTCAGGTGAGGGGCCGAGTAGAAGGCTGTCATGTACCGCCCAGGGTGGACGATAGGGATGAGGGGGTGTTGCTTTACAAAGTATGTCTGATGTCTGTTTTTTTGGTGTGTCCCAAATCAGCACGATGAAGACCCAAACCCGAGTTCACGCTCGGTCCGCATGAGACACACACTCACAGCTCCTCAATCATCTTGGTAGGTGGCAGGGCCTCGAAGAGCCCGAGACCCAGCAGCTCATAGCTAGTCGCCCCGGCATTCTCCTGCCTGGGCTTGTACCGCATGTCTGGCGTGGTGAAGGGTGCACCCCACCCCATGGGCGGTACGTTGCTATGACTATTCACATTCTCACCCAGGCCGGGAACGTTATTGTCGGCGAAGCTCCAGTTGAGGGATTCGTCCGTGAACTTCTGTCTCGAGGAGTCGATCGAGCCTTGAAACCCGGGACGCGGTAAGAAGGCATCCTGACCGTTGTTACTCTGAGAAGAGGGATCGATCCTCCCCTCGACCTGGCGAGGACCCTCCTGCCTATCACTGCTGCCCTCGGGAGCAGGCCCCGTCTTGCCAGCAGCATCTTTCAATAGCACCTCCACCTGAGCTGTGTGTGAGAGAGATAAGAAAGTGTTTGTGTCAGCCAGATGCACCGGAATCGAGTTTCCCTCAAAAGGGGGAGAGTATATACACTCGTACCTAGGCGCTCCTCCAGCTCCTTGACATTCCTCCTTTTGAATGCAGGCTTCCTTCTGGACTCTGGATACTGACACTCGGCCTTGAGCTTGGAGCACCTCGTGCATGCAGGCTTGATCCGGTCGCACTTCAACTTCCGACTCCGGCACGCCACGCATGCGAGAGGCTCGAGGCCGTCGTTGCCACCACCACCGGCTCCCGGGCCGTCTTCGTATGCCGCCGCATCAGCTGATGGCACCTCTTCTTCCGACATGGTGTGATGCTGGCTGTTGTCGTGGTTGTGCTCTTCTCCTTCTTCTTCTTCTCCTTCTCTTCTTCTCTTCTTCTTCTTCTTCTCTTCTCCTTCTTCTTCTCTTCTTCTTCTTCCTATTAGTGTTTCCGGCACGACAAGCTTCAAATATCCACCATTTTTGGAAAGAAGCAATCAATAGAAAAATGGAAAGGAATGTGTTTCTTCCCCCGAATTTCTCCCAAACTTTTTCTCTCCATGCGCCCGGCGTTGCATCTTCAGGCTGACACGCTTTGCTTGTAAGGCTGATAATACTCACAGGGGGCTGTTGTTGGTAGCCAGTCATCGTCCAGCCAAACCCTCGGACAACTGAGACGGTGGGATTTTGCTCCGTTGTCCGAGCTGAGCAGCAGGTGCGAGGCGATGACGTCAGCGCTCTACTCCTTCCTTTGTAAAAGCCGTTGAGTGAAGACCGAGTACATAACATTGAATCAATACTGCCCACAGCTTCTTGAGGTAACCTTTCATGTTTGTAGCAGGCTGCAGCGATGTAACTCTGTGGGATGTCTTCCAGTCAATCCAGCATTCAAGCAAAACTCTTGAGACCAACAAACATCTCAATGCTTATTTTCGGCAACAGAGGAGTTTGGTCAGCATTCAAAGACGACTCGCCCAGCAACTCGCATCGTGGCTTGAGCCACCAATTGAAGCGATCTTGAAAAAGTGACGAGATGCCTTTTGGCCTTATTGGCTACTGTCTACGAGAAGATGTCCCCTGCAGGATCACAAGTTTTTTTTTCCTCCTCTTGAGAAGGCATTTCCATGTTGTCATTCGCTGGAAGCAACGAGCCGGCACCGGAGCCAAGATTACAGCCGCAGCACAATCAGTCTGCCGGTGGTATCCGGTATTTTCTGCATATTGATATGATGCGCTGCGAGTGGTGGCATGTTTGAGTGGCTGTGCTGGATCGGGTGCAAGATAGACTTGACACGTAGTGAAGAAGATCTCCTCGTCCATCCAACAACAGCCGTCTTCGACATCATCTCAAGATAATCGATGACAACGGCCTGAAACTCCATATTTGCAGTACATACTTACCTACTTACCTACAGCAAGATATTACAGTCCCATCCGTCACCGTCAATACCACGCCGGAAAAAAAGAAGAGAAAGGTTAAAGATGAGCACGAAACCCCGACCCCACATCATTGTGGTGGGTGCCGGCGTCATCGGCGCCTCCATCGCATGGCACCTCACGAGACATGAGGTCGGTGCAGACGTGACAGTTGTCGCCCAGGACATTGGAGGCACTGCCACACCCTGCTCGTTTGCTTGGCTCAACGCGAGCTGGCACAACCCGAGACCTTACTATGACTTTCGCCGTCGGTCCATGGAAGGCTGGCGACGTCTTGCGGAGGAGCTGCCGGAGGTGTCCAATGTGCTGCGATGGTGCGGCTCCCTGAGTGTGAGTAGTAGTAGTACATTTTGTGTCTTCCATTCCTTTTCCCAATACCAAATACTGTTCATGGATTTCCCAATGGCTAATAAATTCTCTTGTGTGGGGTGTGGACAGTGGGATATGCCACCGGACGAGCTGGCCAAGTACCTCAAGGAGCACTCAGCCTGGGGCTACGATATTCACCGGGCCGAGCGCGCAGAGATTCACGCCCTCGAGCCGACGCTGTCCGCCGAGGTCCTCCCACCAGAATGGGGCCTGCGCGTTGGTGAGGAGGGCGCCGTCGAGGCAGACCAAGCGGCGCGGGCCATGGTCAACGCTGCTCAGGAGCGCGGCGCCAAAGTCGTCCACGCCACCGTCACCAACCTGATCTGGGAACAGGAGCCAAACAGCAAGGGCACCGGCAGCAAGGGCACCGGCAGCAAGGTCACCGGCAGCAAGGTCACCGGCATCGTCCTTTCATCGTCCGAGACGCTGTTGGCCGATCACGTCGTGCTGGCCGCTGGCGTGGCATGCGTAGACCTCTGCACCACCGCAGGCATCACCGTGCCCCTCAAAACCCCAGCCCCCGCAGGCCTCCTCGTGCACTCAAAGCCCCTGAGAAAACGGATCCTACACCATGTCGTCTACAACCCCCAGGGCCATATGCGCCAGACCGCCGATGGGCGTATTCTGGCCGGGTCGGACTTTGTCGGCGGGGACCCGGGCCCCGACCCGCTGGCTACGGCGCGCGCACAGCTGGAAAAGGCGAAGATGTGCTTTCAACCGGAGGAGCGGGAGACGTTGGAACTGGACTACTTCACCGTTGGGTACCGCCCGCAGCCGGAGGATGGGCTGCCTATTCTTGGGGAGACGGGGTTGGAGGGACTATCGCTTGCTGTCATGCATTCAGGAGTGACGAATGCGGCGCTGGTTGGCGAAATTTTGGCTGAGACGGTCTTAACTGGCAAGGCGGACCCCGCGCTGGAGATCTTCTCGCTAAAGCGGTTCAAACAAGGTCGACGGTGACAATGCGACTCGAACCTCTAATTCCGGGGGGGGGGGGGAGGGGCGTGTTCCAAGGGTGGCCTTCTTCTACATCACTACGACCAGGAAGCAAATTATCTACTCTTGCTGGAGGGGCCAAAGGGTCCGAGGTATGCGGATTCACATACTCGTTAAGGCAAGTGGAAGATCAATCAAATGTCAAGTTTGACATCAAATAATGAAGCATTTAGTAAACAGTCCTGGCACACACAAGTCCTGGACTGTTGGCCAGAATGTATCTTACTATTGCCCCACACAAATTAGTCCATCATGACCGCCACCAGGAGCAATTTTCATCACCTTCATCGACCGCACCTTCTACCCAGGTGACGACCTACACACACATCACACACAGTACCCAAGTAACAGGATCCTCGTGCCATTATTTTTCTTGTTGGACACCCCGAAAAGACGGACGTAACACATACTCGGATTTTCCTGATCGGCAGGCCAGAATACGGACTGGCCTCACAACCCTCCCCCCCAAAAGGTGATACCTGTTTATCGTCACTGTATCACGACACCAGCATAGTCATCGGACTTTTGCTGCTGCTACTGCCCCCTCGCCCCCCCCCCCTCCCCTACCTCTTCTTTCCTGCTACCGAGGTCTCAGATCACAAGAAAAGTCTCAGATCATACACTTGAGACATTGGGCCGGGTCTTTCGAAAAAAAAGCTTTGTGCAATGTAAGGCGAAGAGGACACAGAGGGCAACTCGTTGACCGCTTCTCTCATCAATACATAATGGCTACAGGAGAGGAGGATATGCTGCTACTCGGGACCTTCGGGGGGCAAACACACAGGTCGGCGGAGCTCAATGCGGCAGCCCGGGTGCCGTAGGTACATTACTACCGTGTACTAGATGGCTTTCTCTTCCTCTTCCTTTTCCCTTGGCACGTTTTTTTGGCCCGGACCCGAGGGCCCCGCACCCTTCCAATACGACTCGATTTCATCACACATGGTAAGACATAAGCCCCACCTCTTAGTTCTGGGGACCGAACCTTAAATGGCACCGAGAGCTTGGTATATGTTAGTTGCTCGGGTGCAGCATGGCGGGTGGTTTGGCTTGGCTGGAGGATGCGTTGGCGTTTGTCTCAGAATGGATTTCTTTGCAGATGGGTGACAGCTGGTATGCTTCAGAATGTGGACAGCTCCCTTCTTCTCACTACCAAGGTTGATAGACGTGACAACTCACGCAGGTCGTACCAGAGATGTCTCGGGTCTAGATTTGGTTCGAAAACCCACCCTTGGGCTTGCTGCTCCGCTGCAAGTCCTGGATCTGATGATGATGATGATGATGATGATGATGATGATGATGATGATGACTTTTATTAAGATGATGATGATGGCTTGTCAATGCTCCCCCCCCCCCCGGTCCCTCCTGCATGCCAATCTGAGTGGGGCCGTGGCGAAGGAGTGGTATCATCCAAATGGTCGCAGAGAATAGGCCTCGTGACGCGACGGTATATCATGCTATATGCATGAGAAGTGCATACAAAGTGTGCCCAGGGCCTGCATGACGAGGTTGCTATACTGAGGTAGTACTTTGTTGGCAGGGGGCCCAGCCAACTCCCTTCCCCCGTCCCGGGCCCACAACTCAGCAGTGCCGGACACACAAAGTATTTGTGTGTGGTGTTGGCAGCGAACTTGCATGCAGGACCGTGGCCTAGACTGCGGGACTGCTATGCCGCCAGGGTTGTACTATAGTTGTGAAAGAGGAGCCGAGAGTACTATAATACCCTGGCCATCATGACATGTCATTTTTCTTGAATCTTTCTTTTCTTTCTTCTGCAGCTTCAACGAACCATACGGCTCGTGACCCCTGTCGACCTCGTCAGGAATTGGCGTGCAGGACGCCCGTGATGATGTCTCCACCGCGGTGTGCTTAGTCGTGGGAACTAGAGGAGCGGGCACCTGCTGCAGACGGCGAGGTTCCAGGTCGACGAAAACTACCATGATCAGCCCCTCTGCAGGATCAGCTCTCGCGTATCTTGAGTGCAGGCGGAAGCGGCGGCCAGCCGGGGTCTGTATGGTGTAAAGCGCCCATGCAGCGGTAGCTATGTCCCAGCGGCCAGGGTTGACAGTTGATCACGCTTCCGCTTGTGCGCAACCATATACACACACACACACACACACACACATACTCACTCACTCACTCACTCACTCACTCACTCACACTCACACACATACCCCATCCATCCATCCATCCATCCCATCTGATGTGACCGGCCTGCAGTGAGTGCCCTGGTCATCGCAGGCGGCGTTTGGGAGTGTCTATTCAGCAGGCACTCGACATGAAAAGCCGCCCTTTCCGGTATTGCTTGCGGAAGTGCAGGGCTGCGTGGCTGGCTGCCAGTATGGGTAACAAGTAGGGCGATAACTCGCGGCGTGTGGTCCGCCCTAAAAGGATCCAGAGGCGTCCAATGCTTGGTCACGTCACCCCGGAGGAGTATGTCCGTCTGCTGCCTCTTCCAACTGCCAATATCATACCCTCTCTGAGAGAGGTGGGGGGGGGGGGGGAGAGGGAATGGGGGAGAGAAAAAGGCGCTGACCAAAGACGTGAGAAGGTAGCAAGTGCCAGATCGTCGTGTGGATCCTACACTTTGCTCCCTCCCGGAAGAGGTCACAGCTCCTGGAGAGATGCCATGGCTGAGCTGACTAGGCTGGCGAGCATGACCTTATTCGTGACCAGAGCAGTGCTTGTGGGCCTCGAGTGCAGATTCTGGCGGGTTGCTCCTTGTACACCAGCTCGTGTTTCTTGATGTCGCGGCTGTCATGGTCAAATGTCAGCTAGGCAGTTACGACAGTTGTTATTGTCGTATTCAAGCGCTCAAAACGCTGAAAGGCTTACACACTTCTATCCATCGTACTATGTACCTGGGTACGTGGTAAACTGGGGGGGGGGGGTTGCAAATTTACAGGCCTTCCCCTCACGAGCCCACCCGAAGTTGGGGGAAGGACAGCAGGGTAGCCAAAGTACCGTGGACCGAGAGCAGGCAACAATAGCGCACGGATCACCATGATCAACAGACGATCTCATCTGGTCCTTCCGCGACAAAGATCTTTCCCACAACTCAATTCGATTCAACTCAAAACCCACCTCGACTCAATGACAGAGACAGGGTCCTTACTATGGCCCGATTGGCCCCGACTCGCTGCCCATCAATACTTCGAGAGGCTTTCCCAACAGCCTCAACACAAATGTAATTTTCGGTCCCCCCCCCCCTCCATTTTCTCTCCTGACCCACACTGTCTCTCTTCAGCCCTGACGGGAATGGCTAAGAATTAGAACACTTCGGAAGATGACCGTTTGAACCACCTACAGCCTAGAGCCTGGAGCCTGGAGCCTGGAGCCTACCTGGACCATGACCAACTTATGGAGGGGGGAGGCGTGGCAGAAAGAGGGGGTTGGCGGGCTGTCAAGACTCTTTTGCCGCCCTCTGCCCTCGAGGCTAGTTTCTCTGTTGCAAAGCTTGTCAGGGGCTGAGACCCTAGGCCCGGCTTCAACATCAGCTGGCACTTATACATTCCGGCATACGACGCGCTTCGTCCTCACAGGGTTGTCGTGGACTGACGTGGACCGAGCATTTCGGAGAGTCATGTCCACGTACTGGCAACACGCACTGACTGACTGACTGACAGCACGCTGACGCTGAAGTATGCTCCCTGGCTAGAGTCGAAGTCAAATCTGAAGCCTGCTCGGCAGGGTACCCGAGATAACCATCTCGACTGCCACGCACGTCAAACGTTGGCGCTGCTGCTTATGGACAACGCTTTGGCTTGCGCCCCCCCCCCCCAAAAAAAGAACAAAACAAAAGAAGAGCATGGTACCACTACCAATACCAACAACATTCGATTATGGGTTATCTACCCCACGCCACTGTTTCAATGGGCTACCGTGGCTGGGCTGACGAAGGTGCCAGTTGCAATGCCGGATATATCCGTGACTTTTCGACCGGCTGAGATTATTCTGTGACCAGTGCTCTGTCTGGTATACCTCGTCATTGAGGGAGGGGTGGATGAAGCTCCTGGAAAGAATGAATCAGACTGGCAGATCCCAACACCAATATGAAGCAACCCTAATCTCCTCGACGGGGGGAGGGATCAATGTCACCGTGTCAGACAAAATGCCTGTCAGCCATGACACGGCAGCAATTCCTGGCTTGTCATCATCTTGCAAAGTGTTGCAACACTGATCGCCAATTTGGCCACCCGGCTGGTCCTGCTCATGATTCACGACACCGGACCTGTCAAGGGCCCATCTCTATCAGGGACAGGGGCTCGCAGCGGATGCTACTATGTACGATGATGGCAGCTGTGCAGATCCTAGCCAGGGGCCCTTAGGTTGGCATCGGACTGCGCGTGATTAGTGTTGTGTGCAGCTATCTGGGTAGTCATTCGACAGACAGGGTCCTGAAAGGCGAGTTGGTGCATGTCGAGGCGGGAAGAGGCCTTTCAGCCAGAGGACGACGGACGCATGAGCGGACATCCTTACATGCTCACCCGCGCCGAGCAGAGCACAGCAGATGCGGTGGGAACTGGCAGCAAGCAAAAAGCTGTACCATGATGCATCTCTCCAAGATGATCGCTGCCAAACCAGACAGCCACCTGGTTCGTCGTTTCTGTCGTCACGTTGTGTACCGGGTCTTGCCACCAATCACCGCCTAGAGAGACGCCTAGCACAACAGCAGCAGCAACAGCAGCGGCAGTATGGTGCGCTGGCGCTGGACACATGCTTCTTTTCCAAGCAGGCATAGGCTTGGTCTGATCATCTCTTCCGTGCCACTGCCATGCACGCAAAGCAGCAACAACACGAGGGCAGCCAGCGCGGGATGGCATGCCGAGGGCGAGTGCCACGCTTACCTACGCCCCCTACGCCATCTGTGGTCCTGTGCGCGGTGAGAGATACACACCCGGGGTTGCATGCCGTGCTTATTTGGCTAGTCAGGCAGGTGTGTATTGTTTGTGGCTACAGATGGAGTTTTCGTCCTGGTCACCGCCATTGCGTAGTGTAATGTCAAGGTTCTTACGCCCCCAGACTGGTCATGAGTTTCTGGTAAGGCAGCAAGCAGATCCTCTAATTTGCCTCATGTGAATGGGGGACCTACAGCTTGGTGGTCCGGGGGGAGAAGGGGGGGGGGGGAGACCATGCAGTATGCTACCATTCGGGGAGGTCTGGACCTGTGTGGGCTGTGGGTTGCCCTGGTATGGGTGTCATGAGAATCCTCTGTGGCTTGATAAACTCATAAGTGTGCGTGGTGACCAGCGTGGGCATTGATTCCGATGAGACGGTCAAATAACGTGCACAGCATCATAGCCCGTGACGGTGGAAGAGAGTGCGTCTGGTTTTGAAGGAGGGGGGGGGGGGGGACTGGCACGGACATACGCCTGAACCTGTGACCACCGCCGAGAAGACCAGGAGCCTTGTCGGTTTCTTTTGCCGTTCTGAAGTACACGCACACACACAGACAGAAGCAAGCAGATGAGGGGGGGGGTGGGGGTTGGTGGTTAACAAGCACAGGTCAGCCCTTCCGGTCGTCTCTTCTTGTTCGGCCATCTCATGGGTGAGCAGTGGTCGCCGACCAACAAAAGTTTTGCCCGACGCACATGAAGCCATACTGCATGCATCAACCACTACTCGAAAGATTTTCAAGTTTGTGAGTGGATGTTTGCGGACTCGTCCATCCATTTTCGTAGGACAGCACGGAACATGGATATGGTTGGGCGGCGCAATCTCTGGCGGCTTAGAAGAACTTGAGACGGGAAAGAGAGAAACGCAGAAAGACAGACACCACCCACATAGGCTCTTTCCGCGGTCCAAGACAAGGCGTCCTTCGCGCTCCCGCCCCAACCCCATTCCGTCCGCTCTGGCTCTTGGCCCTTCTTTTCTTGTCACACCCGGGAAAGCCACATGGCTATCGGGATATAGCGTCTGCCCTCTTCTTCCTATCCTGCCTCTCCTTCTCTTGCGCAACTACTAGGTACTCCTGCCTGCCAACCTGCTACCCCGGCTAGTCAACGACGGAAATGAGTGAGGCGAGTAAGTAACCTGCTCCCCCCCTCACCCCCACCAGCGCCCCCAAAAAGGTGGACGGGCTGCGTAGTAGTGAGCCAGCACACACACCCCACCCCCCGGTCCAAGCCCCAAAGTAAAGTCAGCCCAATCTATCTGGGACGTATTAACTTTCCTTCCAAGTCTCGAGAAGAGGGGGAAAAGGAAGGGGTGAGAGAACACAAAGGGGGCTTGGGTAAAAATTGAAGTAAAGGATGCCCCTCCTGGGTGGTGGTGAACAAGAGAGAGAGAGAGAGAGAGGGGGGGGGGGGGAGGGAGAGGGAGAGAAAGCACTCGTGCAACTCACTCTTCTCCCATTTCTTGGTGTCACTGTTACACATCTGAAAGAGGTTTGGCAGTGGTTGACCGACGGACGGTTCCAAAAAAAGAAAAGAAAAGAAATAAAAGAAAAGGGAAAAAGAAAAATAGCAAAGAATACAACCCTCCCCCCTTCGACCTTCTTCCCCCCACCAGATTAGAACCTGGGAAAAAGAAAAGATGAGATTGATTGCCGGATGTTTATAGTCTGAAACAACTTGCCGCATGCGATGGGCTGGCCCCCCCCCCCCTCTCTCTCTCCCCCCTTTACTACTACTTAGTCACTTGGATAGATTGCGTGTTCCTTCGTTTTTTTTCTTTTCCTTTCCCTTTGTCTTTCCTTGACGACGATCCTAGCGCCTTGTTCCACGTGTGACACGGCACAGGCCAGGCAGGGTGAGAGAGACAAGAGAGAGAGAGAGAGAAGGTGAGAAAAAGTCAAGAGAGAAAAAAAATTAAAAAATTGAAAAGGAGGTACAGAGGGAAGGAAGAAGGAAAAAGAAGAAACAAGAGACATGCGCGGTACGTAAAAGAGGAAAAGAGATTGATTGGTTGTACTGCGAACCCGGCAGCATGGTTTGGGAGCCGGATCTCTTTAGGTTGTTTTATGCGGGCTCTATCCTGTAAGTCATACATATACGTACATACATACATACCTTGTGACTATGGATGTATGTAGGTAGGCGTATGCCGATGGCGGGACACGGCGCATCGCTGCGTGCTTTCTTTTCCTCCTCTCTCTCTCTCTCTCTCTCTCTCTCTCTCTCTCTCTCTCTCTCTAGAACCCAGCGCAGTCGTTGTTGGCTCCCCGGGCTAGGGCTTTGGGGTGTACTCGGTAAGTGTGACGCTGATGGGAGGAAGGGTGGGGGGGGACATGGCTGGCTGGATAAGAGGCGGTGATGGCCAGCAAGCAGCACCCTCCCTCTCCGCCTGGGGAATGTTGTTTGTTCACCTTGTAATTCAAGTGTGTGAGACAGAACAAGAGCGGGAGAGAAAGCTGGAAACGAACGCTAAGCGTCTTTTGGAGAGTGTGTGTATGTTTCTTCTGAATTCCGCTGGGTTGCCCCAGAATGCCATAGTACTATGTAGTAAAAATGCTTGCTCATGTATTGTTGCTTCTCAAGATGAGCCCTAACAGGTCTCATTCGCCGGCCACTCGATGCAGAGGTATCTCTATCTATTGAACTTTTTATTTTTTTTATATTTTTTTATTGCGCTTGCTTGCTTGCTTTGCAGTTTGCCGCCCGAAACCGTTTAAATCAGTAAAGGAAAAAAACAAGAATGTCGAACCCACCAATTCTTGCTGCTGTGAATAGCCGCCCGATAAATGACCCAAACCCGCTTGACCACCTGTGTCCCTCGCAATGATGATGATGAAGGTGCCAGCCTGCCTACTTGTGTGTGCATGCAGTGCTCATGTGTTGCGCCTGTTGTTGTTGTTCGGTTGTCGTGCCCCATTATGTAAACCGATTAACTTGTCCACAAGAACGTTTGCATCGAATTTTTCTCCTTTTTTGTTTCTTGTTCTTGTGTTTCTCCTCGTTTCCTCGTGACATGGTAGGTATGTACAGTTCAAGAAAAAACATAAGTATTTTTCAGTTGAAAAAAAGAAAAGGGCTCGAAGTTTTTTTCTTTTCCTTTTTCTTATTTTCGTTCAGCGCAGATCCATGGTTGCTATTTTAGTAGTGTGCGCAAGGAAGGGTCTTCTTCGGAAGTTTCCCCCTTTCTTTAGTAGCTGCCACCTCGCTTCAGGTGCTGTGAGCGACGGCGGGCCTCCATGTCGTCATCAAATGGGCTATCCCCCCCGTCGCTTGTCGTTGGGCTCTGCCGAGGTTTGCTGTCATCGTAGTCGCCGCGCTCGGTGGAGGTAAGCAGCTTGCCGTCGGTAGTACGCGAAGTCATGGCATCTGACTCGGCACGGGCGTTGTTGAGCATCGTGGGCAGCTGCCTGCGGCGGGCATTGATAAACCAGTTTGAGATTTGGTCTGGAAGACTAATTAGCGTGGCTGAATTTTTTTTTTTTGGGGGGGGGGGAACAACACTCACTCATCTGGAGTCCAGTTTGTCGCATCAACTCCTGCTTCTCATCCTCGGTGGGATATGGGTGGTGGAGATGACCGACAAACCATGTCCTCAGCTTGTCCGTAGTCTCCTTGGGAAGGTTTCCCCTGCGCTTCCGCTGCTTGTTGTCTGAAGCCATGGCGAGTGACATCTCGGCGTAGCGCATATACTCTGAATAGGGCGTTGGGTAGATGCCAGGGGAAAACGGCGTCCGGTCCACAGCGTGAATAGAGCCCATGGAAAGTGACTGCACTCTCGATGGGTGGTGGTAACCGTAGTTGTATGGTGGGGCGGCCGGCCCAGGTCGGTAGGAGGTCGGACTTGCTTCGTACCGCTGATCAGGGTGGTGCACGTAGAGTGGTGCTCGAGGTGCCTCCTGGAGGTACTCATCGCTGGAGTGACCCCGAATGCGCGGCATGGGGGCGGGTGGTCCACGCTCCAGGCCCGCTGGAGGTGCGAAACTGGGCAGGGATGGGCGAACATCTGGGCGGTCCACAGGCTCCAACGTAGCAGGCGATCGGATCGCTGGCAGGCCTCCCGGGGGTAGATGAGGAGGGCTCGCCCTCGCATTCGGTCCGCCCCACTGCTCTGGTGGTGGTGGTGGTGCTCCTCTCGGTGCGTATGCTGGTGAGGCTGGTCGGGGCATGGGCATCTCTGCGTGCCTGGGCGGGCTGTTGTAGTGCCTGGGTACGCGGCTCTGGCGCTCGTCCCTCTCTTCTTCGAGAGACAGACGCCTTCGCTTGTTTGAGTTTGGCGAGTGGACGTACTCTGGGGTCAGCAGGCCAGGCCCGGTGGCCGATGGTGAGTTTGCGGATCCAGGAGTCCTTCCTGACCCATCCTGGGGTCCGACCCGTAGTTGCAATTCAGGAATGGCCTTTTTGATTGAAATGTCAGTGGTATTGTCTTGACTATATATGCACGCGGGCAAGAATACACCTTGGAAAGAAAGAAGAAGAAAAAAAGGGGGGGGGGCTTTACCTGGCGAATAGATGGGAGGGCGACCTGAGCGGCCTGGGCAGGCTGAGGAGCGTCATACCTCGGCCTTGAGGAGGACGAGGACGAGGAGGAGTAGTAGTAGTCTGCAGTCATCTTGGGTTCGTCCCAGATGTGACGAAAAGGAGGGTGGGGAGTTGGCGTGGCCATGGCGAGCATCGACATCTTGGCTTCCTGTTCAGTTCGGCTGTGGTAGGAGTCACTGCGCTCAGTCGAGTAAGGCGCGCCTTCCATAACCAGAAGAGAGACACTCTTCGAATAGGCCCGCTGGAGCTACCTAAAAACCTCCTTCCCGCTCATCAGCAAAGAAGGTCTCGGAAAATTCTCGTTTGGCAGTCGGACAGACGAGATCTCTTGTCTCTCCCCGGCACCTTCCCAACTGAATGAGGATGTCTTACCTTCCGCCCAGCTCCAAAAAAAAAAAAAAAAAAAAAGAAACCACCAAAAACAAGGTAATCCGGGATCTTGGAGGGCGACTCTTCGTCGTAACTACTATAGTGGAGTGTGGGTTTCGGATTCTTTTCGTTCCTTTTTGGTCTCCCTTGATCGACGTTGGTGAGAGGTTACGATGGCCTCACTGGCTTGTAGTCCATGCGCGACTGTTATAAGGCAGACAAGGCTGTGGTCGACGTGGAGGTCATGCTCTGCTGCGGTTGGATAAATCGTACGAGACCGACAAGGCAAAGTACACAATAAGGCTGGATCGGTGGTATTTTCAAAAAGAATGGAATGAGGCCGCCAGGAATAGAAGAATTGAAAATGGGGGTTTTTTGGTGGTTTTTTTTGGTAAACCACTGAGAGGGTGGTTGGTGGTGATGTCGAAAAAGAGGAAGAAAAGAGAAGAGTATATAAAATAAGGCGGAAAAGGAAAAAAGAAGGGTTGACGAAAGGGTATCGGGTAGTAAGCAGGTAGTAGTTGTAGTAAAGTAGTCGAGGAGGGCCACACCAATGGTGACGGATGAATCGACGGGAGGCTGTGCCAAAAGAGGTAACAGCTGAGAGGGTGTGAGGGAGAGAGACAGAGAGAAAGTTTCGGGAGGCGGTGGGCTTTTTGATCAAAGCAGATTTTCAACAGGGGAGACGAAGGTGGGATAGGCTCAGGTGAAACTGACAGGTGCTTAGCTGGGAGTCATTACACACACACTCACACGCACCATGAAATGGGGCCCGCGCTTCACAGGAGAGGAGGAGGAAAGAGACTAAACAGTAACCGGTGGAGGGAAGATTTTGAGAAAGGGAGGCGTCAAAATGGTTTAATGTATGATCCTGGCAGACTGCGGAAGAGACGCCGGGCTGGGCAGAGATGCTCTACGATGTTGAAGGGGCTAAGCCTGAAGAGGACCAGACATGCGAGACATGGGGGGGGGGCGTGTGGGTGACAACAGCACGATACCCACCCACCACAGTTCCGGACGATCACAGAGAGGGCGAGGGCGAGGGAGAGGGAGAGGGAAAAGCGGAGGACAGGCAAGGGCAGGGAAGAGACAGCGAGAGAGATGGGTGCGTGTGTTGTAGTGTGTGTCGACAAGAGGGAAAAGAGCAAAAGAAACGAGACGAGAGAGAGAGAGAGAGATAGAGAGAGAGAGAGTAAAAAGACCTTGTCACCCCGTATACAGTACCCATAATACAATCCATGGGGGCTCCATAGTGAGCCCCGTCTCCATCCCGTGCCGTATGTAAAGACGGTGGGTGATGTGACGACGGGGCTGGCGGAAACAAGTGGAGGAGAGGGCAAAGGACAGTAGAGAAATTTAGTGCTGCTACCCGAACTCCGTGCGTCGTCTAGGGAGTGAGAGGAAAATGGAGCTTTGGGCATGGGCAAAGGGCGAAAGAGGGGACCTGGAGCCAAGACCTGGGCCCTCTCTGGGAGCTCCATTCTGTGCGCAGTGACAGGGAGGAGAAGAGCAAAGACATGGTCGACGACAAGGGGCACCTTGGGGAGGAGGGACCCGCTGCGGGTTACGGATGGCGTCTGCTGGGTGCTGGGGGGTGTGTTGGTAGTGCGTGGTGGTGGTGCTGGTTGTGGGCGGTGGTGCAAGGCTCGTGGTGGGGCCGGAATTGTCAACTCCCACGGTCTGGTCCCTGCCCCCTTGTCTTGTTGTCGTATGTCTCCTTGTATCCATGTATGCCCACCCAAGGTCGATGCATAGCAGCTGCGGGTTCTGGGTCTTGAGATATGGGTCCGCGCCAAGGGGCCCTGACAAAACAATTGTCGGCTCCCCAGGACGGATGGGGACGGAGAAGAAGGAGGATCTCCGTCTGCAGAAGAAAAGAATGGTACCATGTACAATTCACTATTAGATACTACATGGTGTACTGTGTATCACTATGATATTTGCGTAAATAGACCCGTCGGCGATGGAGGGGAGACATGGTGAGCCAATATAACACGACGGGACATACCGGGAGGGGGGGAGTGTAAAAGCAACTCTCTACTGTCTACACACACACTCTCTCTTTCTCTCTCTCTCTCTCTCGTCCTCCTCTTCTCTCTCACCAACGGAATTGTACATGTACAGTAGTACTACCAAGGCGTACTATAATGGCCACATGCGAACCACATCACGCACGCTATGCACGTAGTTGGCATGGCATGCATGCGTACTAGTCTGCTGTCCATCATCTCATCTCATCTCCTCGGAAGAAACGAGCTCCAGAGGCGGTTAAGACAAGAAAGGGGAGAGGGGGCTGGAAAGAAGAAGAAAGAAAGGGAAGGCAAGAAAAAAAAAGGAGATATTGGTACCTGCTCAACACGGGCTGGCTGTCTGTCGGCTGGCCCGCTCACTGGGCCATGATGGGTGGTGAGTGACGAGATAGAACAGACATTTGTCTAATCCAGGGACGGCCTCGGAGTCATCATACTATGCACCATAGTAGCAGTACTATGGTGGTAGCATGTCGAACTAACGCGCTATTGTAGTGGGTACACACTACGATAGCGCTACGACTCGATTCATGACCTGGCTTTTGGCGGACTGACTTGTCACGGTGCACAATTGCACACACACACACACACACACACACGCACATATGTGTGTGTGGGGAGGGGGGAGAGACAGGTTGAGAGGATGGGGGAGATGGTTGTGTGGATGTGATGGATTGATTGGTGGTGCATGATGGATGACTCTGCTTGACTCTGTCGTCGAAAAAGGCCCCAGATATAGCACAGGAGTCAGTTATGGGAATACATACACCCAGTGGTGGTGGCCGTCTGTTCCCAGAGACGATACTGGCAAGTACTACCTGGACGAAGGCTTACCTAAGAATACTCTTTCCGTCCCAATCAGAAGGTGCCGCTGCGGTAAGGGTACCTAGAAGGGTGTCCAGGTACCACAGTACCTCCTTCCCTCCCCAAAATTTGCAATTCACCATAGGTACTTCGCAGTCCATGCAGATCATGCAGGGTATCAAAGTACCTAGGTAATTTTTGGTGTGTGTTATCATCGAAGTGTCGCCACGTATTTTCCCTGTTGCAGGCCCTTGCCTCGAGAGCCGACTCTCTCCCTGGACAACGTTCCATCAAGCATATGCAGCCCCGTATTCGCCTACCAACTCTCGAAGCTACTTGTCGACAAGAGCTGTCAAGTCATCGATGTTACCGCATTAAACTGATTCAAAAGTTTATCGGCTTTGGTCGGCGTACGAACTACAACTGGGCCTTTCCTCTCCCCTCTTTTCTTTGCCCTCTCCTTGCTCCGCCCTCTTTGCTCTTATTTTTTTTATTCCTTTTCCAGTCATCTGCTAGGTGCATCAACCGTGCAGCTGTCGAGCTGTCGAGGATTTTAGTGCTCACGCCGTTTCTAGACCGCGTGCTCTCAACAGCCGTGGCAGTTCTTTTGTAACTGACATGGGAGGGTACCTACCCGTCACTAGCTTGTCGAGAAACCCCGAATATTTTCGGTCGCATTGGCCGCACCCGCATTCGAGCCGGCTTCATGTAGCTGGACGAAAAGTATTACCGACTGCTTGGGAGCTGGCCCGCTATGGTTGGGCAAAAGGGACGATGCCTGTACTATTACAAATGTCTGATATCTAGTGCCAACGCCGAAGCTCCTGCCCGTTGATCCGTTGGCCAGCTATGACAGTATCGACCGTCTACGCGCGGCCTGGCGGGCTCGGCTTGGGAGCCGATTTCTTGGGGTGTTGTAACGGCCAAGGCTACAGCCTCCTCACAAGTCTACTACACTTGCGAACTCATGATGCCATCGGCTGCTGCTTCTTGCTAGGCGCGACGGCTGGCTTGTCTTCACACCGCACACAACACTAACCTCCCACGGCGTGCGTGGACCAGCTCAAAGGTCTGGATCTCTCACGGTGTCTCGAACGGTCAACGTCATGGCAGCGGAACCATCCCCTCGGTAGTGGACGAACGGGCCTTCATCCTGCTCGCTAGTACCCTCCAAGATTTCAAACACGCCCGAGATGGGCTAGAGGGGAAAACCTTATGCTGTCCCGGTTTCCGAAGCTTGCCCTCTTGCTGCGTTTTGTTTCCCCTCTACACCAATCCGTCTCACCACCTAGCCAATCGCTCTGCAGCCTAACAAACATCGGATCAACTTGGAAACTTGAGAAGAACTCAGTCGAAGGCATGACCTGCGAAGCTCACATGCACCACCAGCCGGGGGGGGGGGGCTCAATAAGCTTCTAGATGACACGCCCACGTCAGATTCCTCATCTTGTCTTCAGTCCCCTGCAAGACCAGGGTTTCAGCGCTGCCACCTGTCGCTGTTGGGGCCCGTCACTCCGGTGTCATAACTAAGCTTGATCACAGCTGTCTTACAACAACAATACCGGCTCACATCTTCAGTCAACAGCATAGCCATGCAAAAAAGCCTGCCACGTAGCTAGCTCATCCCAGAGTCTGGTTTTGCATGACACAGGACCGCCAGTCACCAAGTCGTCACAAGTCAATCATCCGACTCGTTTTGTCACAGTCAAAGCCGGGGCCAAAGTACCTGGACCGCCACTGGCGCCAGCCGGCTGACTTGGCATCTAGGCGTGTGAGCAAAACGACGGCCGGTCTGTCAAAAAAATTTAAAAAATCTTAAATTGTATGGAGCATCCGAGTAGCTTCCGAAGCAGCCCAGACGTTGCAACGATTTGTGTGAGACAATTCCACAGAAAAGAGAGAAAGGAAAAGTACCACCGTCCTTGACAAGTGACGAGACTCAAGGGCATGACAAGACTTTACAATTTGAGGATGCACGGGTACACAAGCTGCGTCTGCCATCTGCTGCATGCGGGCCTGCTCAAGACGCGGAGAGATGAGCGAATCGAGGGCAGAACAGGATTCTCTTCTCTACTGGGCATGAACTGGCAATTTGGCGACGGCGTATCTGCATGCCCTCCGGCATAAACAGTAGCTAGAACGATATGCAGACAGCCTTGTCGAGGTTGAGGTCAGCAGTAAGGCTGCTACGTTCTGCGCCACCGGGGCGCAACACACCACATTCCACACACACACACTTTTACTGTACCGCAGCCCTGTGCGCAGGCTCTGGCAACTCGACCTGTCAACTGTCTCCAGAGACGGGGGCCCCGCAGATGCGATTGGTCGATCCTGCAGATCTGCCGGGAGCATCGATTTGGGCCGATCTGGCATGACGGGGTTAGGTTGCTGTCAGTGACAAGCGCTGATTCGCGATTGGGCACCCCTGACCCATATGCACTGTCATCCGGTTTCTGACCATGGTGCTGGGGCGCTGGAATTTGGGGCCCCTGAGGTCCCAGCCGATGAAGATCCGTTTCCGAAAGCCCTGCTGTCACCGTGCGGCTTTGACCTGTTCATGGTCAGGCCAGGTTCAACCCAGCACTGACAAGATCTTCACAGTACCGTTCACTTGTGATGAGGGCTTTTGTCTCATCTGTCGTTCGTGGATTGGCTATGTCGAAATCTCCGGCAGCCGATGTCAAAGGGCGGGATCGAGACCTCCTTTTGTCGGATTTGCCCATGTTTACAAACGCACCAAGTGGGATCAGCCTCATGTTCAGAATTAGAGCCCACCTCAAGCTGCCGAAAAGGAGAATCCGTACCACACAGTAAAAGGGGCGGCTTTCGGACTTGTTATCGTCCAGTCTGATGAGCCTTGACGGCGTACCATGTCGCAGAAGACAACAATCACCCACATCCCCCCTTGTTTGAATTCGAAGTGCCAGCAGGAAAAGAAGAGGCAATAAAGGAGGAAGAGAGAGACAGAAAAGTGTATATGTGCCTTCATATTCGTGGCTTTTCCCCCTTTCTTGTGGTTGCCTGATTTGTTCATGTCAAGCCTTGCTCCGTTAGTTGATACAGCTAATGGGCAGCATGGCGACTCGTTACGACTCAAGTCTGGTACCAAACTAACATTGGAGTGTGTTTTTCTTCTTCTTTCTTCCTACTTGGTGGCTGATACTGCAGTCCTGCAGACCCCCTTGAGGATGTCACGTCGGGAAATTACCGCCTGCAGGCCTTGCCCTCAGGAGCTGCTTGTTTCGACGAAGCAATGAACAAAATGCGGCTGAGCAGAACACGACTGTGCCCATCCATCCTCTGGTTCGCTAAGGTGTCGAGTTGCAGGGCCATCTCGTGGCCTTCCCAATCTTGTCCACACGGCCCATCTCCTCCTTGATCGGGCCCCCGGGCCTTCCAGAGTCAGTAGCTTCGTTTGCCCTGGATCGAAAGGCTTCGGACCTTCAGAGGAATACGGTCTCCACTGGTCATCCAGCAGTTGGACATCGAGTCTGGTACCGAGATGATTATCTTCCTTTCTCATAGGTATAGTGTCATCTCTATACCCTTCACCCGTATGGAGGAAGAGGAACCGAGGTCTGTCTAACCATCCCCGCTGTCCTCGCTACACCAACGCATTTATGGCAAAGACCGCCGCAGCGCACCCGGCATGTCTCAAATCAATTGTCATACCTCGAGTTTTTTTTTTTTTTTTTGGCAGCGCATCCAAAAGGAATCAATCCCACTACCAGAACAGCTCGCACCCGGCTCTGATCTGGCAGGTCGCTGTCGTTCGCGTCTTGTTCTACGCGGCTTCAAAGATACGTGTCGGGAAAGTGACCTAAGCCGCGACCTCATATGGAGAGTTTCATCCTCTCAGTGGTCCGGTGCTTTCAAATCTCGGACATTGTGCTGATATTGTATACTTTAACTTGATCCCTGGCTCGCTCGCGAGATGGATCGTCCAAGCTCTGATCTGACATGCAGACAGACCACCAACCCACCCCTCCCCTTTCCCCTCCCTCTCCCCCGACCCCAGCCATCTCATGGTTGGGTACAGCGAGAGTCTCATATGAGCTTGAGCAGTGCAGGACCATCGGCTGAGTTTCAACTACACGAATACGCGCGGATGTTACATATCGATGGTAGACTGCGTGCACGCACCATGCCTGGAATACACTGCGATTACCCAAGCAGCACAACACAACGACGACACGGCAGCATGCAAGAGGTTTTTTTCTTTCTTTCTTTCTCTTTTTTCCCCTTGGTCTTCCTCCCTCCGCGCCCCCCTTTTCCCTCCTCCTACTTCTCGTGAATCACTACTTCCAGCGGGTGAAATTTATTCTCATGACCTTAACCTCTAGTCCGGCGCCGG